GTTCTCTTCTTCCCCAACTTTTACCTTTTAACTCAAAAATAGGACTAAACAAAAGTAATTTGAATTTTCCAGAACATTTATTAGTAGTATCTTGTGTTCTTTGTTAAAATAAACATACAAAGTACATTTGTGTCAATGATATGAGATTTAAAAATTATTTTCTGAATATTTTACCTCAAAATAGACTTCACATAACATTATTGGACTTTTGTGTTGACCTTGTGTTCTCTTTGTGAAAATTACATAGAATGGTACATTTGTGTCTCAATATATGTGATTTTAAAAATTATTCACTGAAAATGTCAATTGTTCAACTTTTACCTGAAAAATAGGACATAGATTTATGTTACAGCAAACAGGTTAAAATATTTCAAGGGAGGACTTTTAGTACTCATTAGTTATAACTTACATATGTTGAAAACACTCAAATCATTTCTGTACCAATTTCTTTTGAGGTTTTGTCATATTTTGACTGGACTATATATGCCCAACACACCACTTGATTTCTAACAACAATGTAAACACATGAGAGTTATCGTCCCTGTCTAAACCTTCGTCACCCACGGCATTGTCACAGTGGAATAACCTGTTCGACTCGATACTTGTACTTGTCATATTTCTTCGCACAAGTCAGTCAGTAAATCACGCTTTTGCATATATGTAGTTGTACCTTGATATGTTATGTACAAGTATATACAGAAATGCGATCAAAATCAACTCACCAAATGTTGTGAAGGCAGATAATAAAACTCCGTCGCTCTTCCTTCCAACCTTGCTTCGGGTGCTGGATCCCAAAACGAGGCTCGTCCGAAATGTATGTTAACTGAATGTGGACTGGGTGGTATAATTCAAAATTGAAATACGGCGGGCATTTTACACCAATCGCAGTGATTTTTGCAAAGAGCTCTCAGTGTTGACAGGAAAAGATAACTACGGTTTAACCAGCTATCTGGCCGATAAAGAAACCCATTTTACGAGTGCTTCTTGAAACCCCTCCTTATAACGTACATGCAGAAATGTACCTTTGATTTATATCAAAGTACGGTGAAAATACAACTTTGATTTAACAAGTGCCCCAAGATATCATTTTAAACAACCCTGATTTATATAATTCAGTTTTAACCAAATCAACACAATCAGTACAGGGCAGCGTATGGTCGAGAAAAATAGTGATCTCTAAGAAAGTAGGTCAAACCATTACACATAGTACTGCGCTTAATGAGATTTATGTTTTGGTATGTATTTTGCTCTAGGTTTTTTCTCCACGTTTACACTTGGTTGGAAAAATACCCATGAAGGTCCGGGTTAGAATATTGAACTTCTATAACCCATGCCTGTCGTAAGAGGCCACTAACGGGATCGGGTGGTCAGCCTCGCTGACTTGGTTGACACACATGTCATCGGTTCCCAACTGCGCAGATCGATGCGCATGCTGTTGATCACTGGATTGTCTGGTCCAGACTCGATTATTTATAGCTAAGATACATAGCGTTCACTAACATGAACGCTCATGTTAGTGAACGCTATGCATCTTAGCTAGACTATTTACAGACCGCCGCCATATAGCTGGACTATTGCTGAGTGCGGCGTAAATCTAAACTCACTCACTCACTCACTCAGTTGGTTCGTAAACTACTTTCTATCATTTGCTAGACTATGCAAAGGGAGATAACGCGTGCCTCGCATTCCTCTATCTCTCGCATGAAAGAGTCTCGATCTAAGCTTGGATCGGATCGTAAGATCGGGACCGGCTACGATCGGCCTAAGATCGGTTAGTGGAACGGGTGTAACTTTTAGCTAAGACGATTGTAAAATTGGCGTAACTTGCTAAGATTGATCTTAGATAAGATCGGTTAGTGGAACAGCACCATGATCTTGAAAACGTCACCGATCTAGAACGAGAGGCAGAAATGGGACAGCATCGAAATAAAATTGTATCGTATCCGGGATCGCGATATGAAGAACTGTTTAGTGACGAACAATCATCGATGTATCGAATCAAACATAGATCAGCACAAGCGGCAATTCCGGTTCCTGAAAAACCGCTCCATCAGTATCCTTCACGCAGCGCTTGTAAAACCCATCAAACAGGCAGGATGGGGAATGGACAGGAATATATTCAGCACTTTGACCGATATCAACACTTGTCAATCCAACAGGTTTCAATCTGGGACACAGGACATTAGGCAATCGCAAGCTGGACCCAGCGACCCATCAAGAACCCTTTCATGTGGACCTAATGAAATGCTCAATAGTGATACTCCTAAACTTGGACAAACGAATACTGAGATCCAGCCCCTGGAAACGTGGACAATACAAAGAATAGAGCAAATCTGGGATCAGTTCAAATATGGAATGACAACGTCACGAGCATCTTCTGGGACAGACATGCTTACTGGCATGGTAATAGATGATTCGGGATGTTGCTAAGCAGCGGTCGGCGCCAAAACAAACAGCAACATTTCCATCAGCTGGCACTGCAGTGGGCGGACTGGGACTCCCCGAGACGATATTGTGCGGAGGACGGAAACTACCGAGGAAAGCCGGACATATCCTCGTACTCTGAACCAGACGGAGATTACTGCCCGATCCGCACGTTTCAGGACGGAGAGTAACTACACAGGGAGAGGAGTCTAGGGTTGAAGCAAATCTGTCTCCATCTGATAACAAGAGGAATCCCATTGATTTAATATCTGTTGCTAGGGAACAGGAGTCTAGGATCGGGAGCTAAACTGTCTCGATCTGATAAGAGGAATCCCAGGGACTTCACATCTGTTGCTAGGGAACAGGAATCTAGGATCGGAGCTAAACTGTCTCCATCTGATAACAAGAGGAATACCACTGACTTTATATCTGTTGCTAGGGAACAGGAGTCTAGGATCAGAGCTAAACTGTCCCCATCTGATAACAAGAGGAATCCCACTGACTTAACATCTGTTGCTAAGGAACAGGAGTCTAGGATCGGAACTAAACTGTCTCGATCTGATAAGAGGAATCCCACTGACTTAACATCTGTTGCTAGGGAACAGGAACCTAAGATCGGAGCTAAACTGTCTCGATCTGATAAGAGGAATCCCACTGACTTAATATCTGTTGCAAGGGAACAGGAACCTAAGATCGGAGCTAAACTGTCTCCATCTGATAACAAGAGGAATCCCACTGAGTTAATATCTGTTGCAAGGGAACAGGAGTCTAGGATCGGAGCTAAACTGTCTCGATCTGATAAGAGGAATCCCACTGACTTAATATCTGTTGCTAGGAAACACGAGTCTAGGGTTGAAACTAAACTGTCTCGATCTGATAAGAGGAATCCCACTGACTTAACATCTGTTGCTAGGGAACAGGAACCTAAGATCGGAGCTAAACTGTCTCGATCTGATAAGAGGAATCCCACTGACTTAATATCTGTTGCAAGGGAACAGGAACCTAAGATCGGAGCTAAACTGTCTCCATCTGATAACAAGAGGAATCCCACTGAGTTAATATCTGTTGCAAGGGAACAGGAGTCTAGGATCGGAGCTAAACTGTCTCGATCTGATAAGAGGAATCCCACTGACTTAATATCTGTTGCTAGGAAACACGAGTCTAGGGTTGAAACTAAACTGTCTCGATCTGATAACAAGAGGAAGCCCATTGACTTAATATCTGTTGCTAGAAAACAGGAGTCAAGGATCGGAGATAAACTGTCTCTGTCTGATATTAAGAGGAATCCCACTGACTTAATATCTGTTGCTGGGGAACAAGAGTCTGGGATAGGATCAACACCGTCTCCATCTGATACAGAAGAGAATCTATTTGACTTAATATCTGTTGCTAGGGAACAAGAGTCTAGGACCAGAGCTACACATCCTCGGTCTGATTTAGCCAATAATCCCACAGCAGTTGATGTGTCTACGCTCAGAGCTGAAAAATGGGAAGTTGGAAGTTGGAATATTGTATCTCAGGAATCCTTGAAAAAGAAACGGTTACGAGGAATCGAGCAGCATTATAATAATGAATTAAATATATACAAAACATCCATAAAGAGACATTGCACAGACCCTAATATACCTGGGTGGGGTATTCATGTAGATGAGCAATGGTCAGTATCGACGTTTAGCGGTGATGTTTTCAGACAAAACACAACGGACATAGGGCCTTGTGATAAACACGTTCACTCTTGTAATGGTATTATAAAGGATAGCCTGTGTGAATCGGTGAACGTTGAAATTTATGAAAAGGATTCCCGTAGCGGAGAACATATATCTTTCATATTCTGTCGTGGGCAACGTTATCAAATCGTCAGTTTGAAAGAATTTGAGACCTTACAATATAGTAAACAGTCCTCTACTGCTGTAAGTTGATCTGATGAAATAGAAAGGATTTTGAATAAATTAAATCAGTGGGAATGTTTTGTATGTACATGGTTCATTTTTCGTACTTTTAGAGAACAGATGTATAGTAGACTACACTTATAACGACATGAGGGATATGGCGAACTGTGTTTTGGGGTCACTTGCAGTACATTTATAGTCCGTTTGATTTCATTTGAGACCGATGAATTGCTCACTAACATAATATCTAATAAATGCAACAAAACCAAATTTTGCAGTCACATGAAATCAACAGACCAACTCTGATAATTTGTCTCAAAATTTTGGACACCCGAATAAATAGTTGTTTAACAAACGATCATTATTTTGTTGTCACTTTTCGCTATTTTGTACGAGGGGGGACCCCTTGCTGGTAGAACAGCCAGGTAATCAACAAGCGTGAAATTTCAATTTCACATTGTTGAACTCGCACACCTGGCTGTTCTACCAGGTGAGATCACCAAAAGTCTTTCACTCAGTACCCCTCAAACCACTGCTGAAGGTCCAGGTTAGAATCGGTCTTCAGCAAACCATCCTTGTCTTTAGGCGACTGACTGTACTGACTTATTCAGGTTCGATGACTTGCTCAGTGCATATCGCTGTATCAGTGTCAGTCAATTTCTAACTACTCAAAACAAAAACAACACATTTTTGTAACAGAATTTACTGTAACCATGGTAACATAAATTAATTCACATAATCCAGATTTCAAAGACAGATCAAGTTTCTAATTAATAAAGTTAAATGTAAAGTACATGAATGCATGGCTTCATGTCGTACATAAACAAACACCCCATCCATTCCCACTTCATTTCAGACTGAAAGTTTAAGTTTAGACCACCTGTCCTGTTACGATTCACTATCGATTCACTCTCGTATCAAACTGTATCCCTTCATCAATTAATTCATTTTTCATGCTCACTGGCAGTGATTGAAATAATTGTCAAACTCAACCAGACAGTCGAGCAGGTGACCAATAAATGTTGCCTGTCCGTCTTGAAAGTTGCCTGCCCGTCTTGAAAGTTGCCTGCCCGCAGTTTTGACTCATAAATTGCATTTTATTTACAAAAACAAACAAGTATCATTGTTTCAAATGTGAATTAATTCAGCAAATTAAAAACAACAAGCATGAAATGAAACACTCAGCCACATCCCCAGGCTGTGACATTAGTAAAGAGCCTGTTAAACTTGCAATTCCACTTATCGGTTTACATCATCAAAATGACATATTTTCTGAAACATTTGATACCAACCTCAAATATATCTTCTCGCATGTCATTCATACGAAGCTTCCAAAAGGGAGGCATTCAAAAATATCAGCCAGACAATTGGGATGGTGGAGATTTTTTCAGGCAGGACATCACAAAAGTTGCCAGTCTCGGGCAGGCGGGCAGGCCTTTAATTTGATCACTGCTCACTGGAATTGATTACTTACAAATATGTTTAAGAGATTGTTTTAACTTGGAACTAGTTTGTTGTTTATCTAAGTGAGATATGCAAAATGGAACATATCCATGCCACATAGCATTCTCTTCCCACAGAGGTTACTTGTCATATCTTCCTACGAACCTCTGTTCAAATACGGCCCTTTCATGGTGCGAGGGTTTAGGATTCATGATTGGTTGCAATCAGATTTAGTTGTGCAATCAGCGACGGTGTTTCACAAGTGATCATTCGCAAGGCCTCGGTAATAAACCTAGAACCTCTTCGACTGAGTGATGCTCAAACATTTCTTCTGGACAGAACTCAGTCATGTAACGGCAGATCAATGGTGTCTCCATCGCCCTCGTTGACAACGGACAAGCCAGCCATTAAATATCTTGTGTGTCACATCAACTCGTGTCCCCGACAGGAGAGAGATATTTGTGGCCCCATATTTGCTTGCATTAGTCAAGTTGGATCAAAGTCCATGTAACACATGTTCTGATTGGATAGAAAGAAGGGAGATAAGTTGTGTTGCGATTTTTTTGCCGCTAGGGGATTTTATGAGAACCGGGAAATATGGCCGTATTAGAACAGAGGTTGGTAGGAAGATATGACCAGTAACCTCTGTGGAAGAGAATGGCCATGTAGTAGCTTGTGGGTTTTTTAAATGGGCCCCTCACGGCAATGTTATTAGCCTAAATGCATCATTGTTCCCGTTGTATTGCTTTTTAAGCAATTACAGGACATGTTTGTTTTTTCATTCCTAGATATTAACCATAAAGAAGTTATGAAAAATTAATCACAGTCACTGCATTTATTATCATCACTTACAGTAACTATAGGGGCGGTGGGGTAGCCTAGTGGTTAAAGCGTGCGCTCATCTCGCAGAAATCCCGGGTTCGATTCCCCACATGGGTACAATGTGTGAAACCCATTTCTGGTGTCCCCTGCCGTGATATTGCTGGAATATTGCTAAAAGCGGCGTAAAACTACTCACTCACTCACTCACTACAGTAACTATATATTTGTAAAACATCATATTCCCCTCATAGTGTATTCATTGCAGTGTCCACAAAGATTCAAGTGAACCTGCACCAAGATTCAAGTTGGTGACCAGAATTAACTGTCCACCAAGATTCAAGTGAACCAGAATTAACTTATGGTCAAGTGAACCTGCTTCATTGAAATTAACTTATGTTCACCAAGATTCAAGTGAACCTGCTTCGATTGGTGACCAGAATTAACTTATGTTCACCAAGATTCAAGTGAACCAGAATTAACTGATTGGTGACCAGAATTAACTTATGTTCACCAAGATTCAAGTGAACCTGGGTTCGATTGGTGACCAGAATTAACTTATGTTCAAAGATTCACTGTTATCACCCCACTTAACTTCTGTTCCCAAGATTCAAGTGCACCTCAAATGGCCAGAATTAACTTATGTTCACCAAGATTCAAGTGAACCTGCTTCGATTGGTGACCAGAATTAACTTATGTTCACCAAGATTCAAGTGAACCTGCTTCGATTGGTGACCAGAATTAACTTATGTTCACCAAGATTCAAGTGAACCTGCTTCGATTGGTGACCAGAATGAACTTTATGTTCTGGAACCTGCTTGGTGGTGACCAGAATTTTATGTTCACCAAGATTCAAGTTGCTTCTGGTGACCAGAATTAACTTATGTTAAACACTGTTATCACCCTACTTCTTCTTCCCATCATGCACCTCAAATGGCCATCATTCCCCTTCCTCTCTTCCTGTCAGCCCCGGCTCGTCTGTTGTGATTCCCGCGGGCTGCCTTATTCTTTTCCTTGAACTTTCGGTTTTTTATCACATCTTTCTCTTGACCATGACCCTTCTGTTTGCCAACCACATCGTGCTGCTGTCGGATGCCACTGCCTCGATGAGTGCCACTTCGTTTCTGTTCTGCAATCTCGTGAATTTTGGCTGGGTCTTGAACAAACTCATCCCGGGCTGGTTTCTCATCATCGGACTCCTAATGAGAAGATAAGTATCTAATGAAAAGGTGGTAGTTACAAAGATTATATCACCAGTTACTGGGATATATACTACCCATCAAACGTTTAGACTCACTAGTGTAAATGTAGCTACTTACTTCAGTCAACTGTTCTAAACTAGATTTTGCAAAATATTCCATACTGTTTAAAGGTGCTGTTTACACATGAACTGATGTATTGTAAAACAAATTCGTAACATTGAACAGATTATTATCATGAGTTCAATAAATGATGAAACCTGGTGAAATTGCCACATTTTTAACAAAACCTTACATCAAAACGCAGCTGTTCACATGAACTATATTTGCATATGCTTTTCAGCATTTTGATGCAAGATCACCATGCAATTCATCTGCATAAAGTTTGCAGTTGGTTCCCCTAAGTCAGTGGAGAGATTCATCTTCGATGTAACCACATATATATACATAACATATGGTGAGTGCTTGAAGTGAGTCTAAACTTTTGATAGGTAGTATATAATCGTCTCAGACCACTTGGGTATTTTGAGACATTGTTAACATCTGTCTCATCATCAGTTCCAAATGACAGTATCAGCCAATTCAGTACCTCATTGCAGGGGGTAAAATCAGTATTTTTACAAGTCCACAGAAAGTAGTTCTTGTCTACAGAGAAGTTTGTCAACAGAGATATCATCTATGTAATGATAAAGGTGGTAGTTCAAGAGAAAATATCACCAGTTATTATGAAAATATATTAGTCTCAGACCACTTTGGTATTTTGAAACATTGTTTACATCTTCTGATGTTATATTCTAGTTATATCATGACATGTTAGCTTACTGAGGCAGGAAAGCCCAGGTGACGCAATTCTTAGACGTTTACAACTTAAAAGAAAACCTCAAGCCAAAAACTAGAAACACTAGGGGCAAACTGGGATGCAAACCCACTTTAAAAGGTTTCTGGTTTAAATAGTGACACAACTCATAAGAAGATGGAACCATCCATGCTCCTTTTAACTGAGAAGAGAGTGTGGGTTCGATTCCTGGATGGGACTCCACCAAAACAGATTAGAGATTCTGTACTTTACTTAGAATGTGTAATCACTAATATAACATAGCGTATTCAGCATTTTTAGCACCCAAGGCACTCAGGTAATTTAAACAGAAAGGGGCACTTATAAGAATACCCAAACAAGATGGGGACACTGATTAGGAACACTCACACAACAAGAGTCAATGAACGTGCATATCACCATGCATCACAAATGCTGATCTACTTCCGGGTTCATCAGGGTGGAAATAACTTTAAAATTGCTAGTGTACTCCGGTACAGTGGCACATGTAAAATCACTTGCACTAATAATTTTTCCAATATACCGTCCGTTTTTCTTGTTGATTTTTTAAATAAATAACATTATTAACATTGGAAAGTCAACTGGACACCAGGTACAGTGTGATATACAAATTTGCTTGCCCGACAGAAAAAAACACTGGACTTCGGACGTCGGGCAATGGGTTATTTCCACCCTGGTTCATGCTTCACCTCATTGTCCTGTACTGACTGTATTTTCTTATACAGTACAGTGCACATTTGTTTCACTTTATTTATTTATTTATTTATTTATTCAAAATTTATTTATTTATTTATTCAAAATGTATTTATTCATTATTTATTTATTTATTCAAAATTTATTTATTTATTCAAAATTTATTTATTTATTTATTTATTTATTTATTTATTCAAAATTTATTTATTCATTATTTATTTATTTATTCTTTATTTCTTTATTTCTTTATTTCTTTATTTATTTCTTTATTTCTTTATTTATTTATTTATTTATTTATTTATTTATTTATAGCTTCAATTTCCAGCTAGGCTGCTCACAGGCTGAATCCCTTAGTAGGAAGTGTGCATTACACATGGGAGTGAACTATACTCATAAAATATGGTACTTCTTTCATTTGTCCTTCATGATATTTAGCATAGCAAAATGAAAGTTAGAATGGGAATGACTGTCATGAAATGTGTGTGTGTGTGTGTGAAACATATTTCTAATAGGGATTACTTATTATGAAGGGGTGTTAATCTCGTTATAACATTAAATAGCATTTGACAACTTTCTAAATGGCAAGGTACCATGATTGGTTCCTATCTGATGGCGATCTACGTAATCTCGGAAACCATAGCTTACCTCAGATTCAACCTCTTCCCGTTTAGGTCCTCGGGCTGTCTGCAGTGCCCGTGGAACAACAAATGGCCTGAAAAAGGAAAAGTATATGTTTTACTCTGCAGCATATGACAATGAGATTCAGACCCATGAAGAACTGGTCTTCAGCTACCAATGCTTGTCTTCCCATTGACTGACTGACTGACTGAGTTTAGTTTTACGCCGCTTTTAGCAATATTCCAGCAATATCACGGCGGGGGACACCAGAAATGGGCTTAACACATTGTGCTCTTCCCAGTGAAGGTCCCGGTTAGAATTGGTCTTCAGCAAACCAATGCTAGTCATATGAGGTGACTAACAGCATCAGATGGTCAGTCTCACTGACTTGGTTGACACATGTCATTGTATCCCAGTTGCATGAATTAATGCTCATGCTGTTGATCACTGGATTGTCTGGTCCAGACTCGATTATTTACAGACCACCACCATATAGCTGGAATATTGCTGAGTGCAGCATTAAACAACTAAATATATCTATACCTAAAACTTCTACACTTTTAGGGGATGGGCCGGTTGGGGTAGCTTAGTGGTTAAAGTGTTCGCTTGTTACGCCAAAGACCTGGATTCGATTCCCCACAGGGGTACAATGTGTGAAGCCCATTTCTGGTGTCCCCCACAGTGATATTGCTGGAATATTGCTAAAAGTAGCATAAAACTAAACTCACTCACTCACTTTTAGGGGATTGATTTGTTTTCTTTCCGGAAACTGATTATAGGAATGTCAACATATACATTATTTACTGTAACAGAATGGCCTCAAATTGAACAGGTTAAAAGTCACATATCTAATATATACTATGAGACACTGGTGATAAATAATGATCGTTTAATAACGCACCCTTTGCATGGTAGTAGAATTTGGGATTTGGTGAGGTAGTGAGTTGACAACGTGACAGCGAGTCAGTTTTGGTTTTATGCCACTTGTGGCAATAATCCAGCAACATCACAGCCAGGGACATCAGAAATGGGCTTCACACATTGTACCCTTGGGGGGAATCAAACCCAGGCCCTCAGTGTGACAAGCAAACACTTTTACCAATAGGCTACCCCAACGCCCCCCCCAATGTGATAGAATTGATGCTGGGCCTCTAATACACACAAAATAGACACCTGGGCATCTAAATGAGGAATTACGATACATCTTAACAAGACTAATACATAAGTGAAGTTATTTTCAGACATTTTCATATGAGCATTGCACTTTTACATTCTTGCTGATGTCAGAGTATCATGTTAGGGGGTTGGCTTATCTATGAGATTGGCTTATATACGGTAAATGTCACAGTGTCCCAACAACAGATTAAAGGATTATATACGGTAAATGTCGAGGACTTAAAGGATTATATCGAGCAGACCAGTCCTTGTTGTACCCATTAATTCACAAAATACCATGTTCAGGGATAAACATACCTACAGCATATCAAGAGTAGTTATCTTTAGGTATGACGTGGTGGGAACCGAACCGACCTTCCGCTCCAGGCACTGACGCTACTACACAATTTCAATACTTTACAGGACCCCATATTACAAAAGCAGGACCATCTGAAAGTCAAAGTCAAAGTAAAACCCTGGGTAATAAAGAGGGCATGTACCTTCTGGCAGTGAGCTCTTCAGCAGAGTCTTCATCCTGGGCACCAATGTTGTTGGTGTCATACGTGTCATCATACTCGTCATCATACTCATAGTCTGGCAGGTTGTCATACATGCTGGCCTGGTCACGTGACCCGTAGGCATCGTACGTTGCCTTCAGCTGTTTCACAGTTGACTTGTCATCAAGGGAGGTATCATCAGCTCTGGGAAACAGACATCAGTTGCAATATACTGGACAAAAATAGTTAGGGATATATGTGAATTTTTAAATTATAATAATAATCTGTTTATTCATTGACACACTGATATAATATCAATCATAAACATACCAATATCCCTAACTTATTTTGTCCAGTATAGAAGCGGACCACAATACATGAAATATACTGAACTGAGGTTAATGTGACCACAAATTGGAACTGATCATTACGCTTCTTAAGCGATTATGTGTGTGGGTTCTAAACCATTCCCTGTCTGATTTTAACAGTCCCTAGCAGACTCCATCCACCTCATGGCCTTGTGGATCCAATTCCCAGACAGTTCCCACCCACCTCTTGCCCTGATGTTAACAGTCCCTAGACAGACCACACCCACCTCTTGCCCTGATGTTAACAGTCCCTAGACAGACCACACCCACCTCTTGCCCTGATGTTAACAGTCCCTAGACAGACCACACCCACCCCTTACCCTGATGTTAACAGTCCCTAGACAGACCACACCCACCTCTTACCCTGATGTTAACAGTCCCTAGACAGACCACACCCACCTCTTACCCTGATGTTAACAGTCCCTAGACAGACCACACCCACCTCTTGCCCTGATGTTAACAGTCCCTAGACAGACCACACCCACCTCTTGCCCTGATGTTAACAGTCCCTAGACAGACCACACCCACCTCTTGCCCTGATGTTAACAGTCCCTAGACAGACCACACCCACCCCTTACCCTGATGTTAACAGTCCCTAGACAGACCACACCCACCTCTTGCCCTGATGTTAACAGTCCCTAGACAGACCACACCCACCTCTTACCCTGATGTTAACAGTCCCTAGACAGACCACACCCACCTCTTACCCTGATGTTAACAGTCCCTAGACAGACCATGCCCACCTCTTACCCTGATGTTAACAGTCCCTAGACAGACCACACCCACCTCTTGCCCTGATGTTAACAGTCCCTAGACAGACCACACCCACCTCTTGCCCTGATGTTAACAGTCCCTAGACAGGCCCAACCCACCTCTTGCCCTGATGTTAACAGTCCCTAGACAGACCACACCCACCTCTTGCCCTGATGTTAACAGTCCCTAGACAGGCCCCTCCCACCTCTTGCCCTGATGTTAACAGTCCCCAGACAGACCACACCCACCTCTTGCCCTGATGTTAACAGTCCCCAGACAGACCACACCCACCTCTTGCCCTGATGTTAACAGTCCCCAGACAGACCACACCCACCTCTTGCCCTGATGTTAACAGTCCCCAGACAGACCACACCCACCTCTTGCCCTGATGTTAACAGTCCCTAGACAGACCCACACCCACCTCTTGCCCTGATGTTAACAGTCCCCAGACAGACCCAACCCACCTCTTGCCCTGATGTTAACAGTCCCTAGACAGACCCAACCCACCTCTTGCCCTGATGTTAACAGTCCCTAGACAGACCCAACCCACCTCTTGCCCTGATGTTAACAGTCCCTAGACAGACCCAACCCACCTCTTGCAGTGATGTCAACAGTCCCCAGACAGACCCAACCCACCTCTTGCCCTGATGTTAACAGTCCCTAGACAGACCCAACCCACCTCTTGCAGTGATGTCAACAGTCCCCAGACAGACCCAACCCACCTCTTTCCTTGGTGTATCCTGTTCATGTCCACATTTTCTTTGCGGAAGATGTCAAACTGGTCATTGTCAAAAACATTGGCTCTCTGGTCCACCAGACTCGATGATACATCCTCAAAGGTTTCTCTGGTAACAGAATAAAGATTATACCAGTGAATAGGTGACATATTCGCCCTTAACCCTGAAAAGCTGCAGGCCCTAAGGACCCAGAACCATAAAAAGTTGTAGGTCCTGATCAGAATGTGTAGGCCCTATATTATGATATGGAAATAATTCTCTTAGTTATTGGGAATGAAAAAACTGTCGGGCATAAGGACTTGCAGGAAACAAACGCTGTGGGTCCGTGTGGTTTTCAGTCAGCTTCCGGCCTAATGACCAACGTTAGTTTCAAACGCTGGCTCTGGATTCATATCATATGAATTCAAGGTTTGCAGTTTGCTTCAGTCAGCTACACCAACATCAACAGTTTTTGATTTGTTTTGTGCCTTAGATTAATCGTTGATAAGTTTTAGTTTTGGCATCTTTAAAGCGATACAGTTCGCTCTACCCCCATGTATAGTGTAGTTAAGTACAATTTTGCCTAACTATTATAGTTAAAATTGTATATCTGGTGAAAACCAGCTTTGAAAAACAGTGAATGAGTGAGTGAGTGAGTGAGTGAGTGAGTGAGTGAAGGTTTCTAGTCACATCTGCAGTATTTCAGCCATATAGTGGCTAAAAAATGTCACTGCATTAAAATCGACAATCTACATTAAGACATGGTATGTAACTCCCAAAAATTTCAGCCAGACCACAGGGCTGGTTAGATGTAAAACTTGCCAGCCCTGACCAAAACTTACCTGCCCACAAATAATTCATGGTATACAAGCGACATAGTTTATAATCCAATTGGAATTCATCATTTATTTTTTACGAGTGTATTAATAATGATTTATTATCCTGAAATATGATGACTATCGTCATATACTTGTCTAAATTTTAACCCGACCGTCGGGCCGGTGAATTTGAGAAGCTGGCAGTACGTGTGGAAAATAACCCGTCCCGGGCGGTCATGCAGGCAGGTATTTCGAACGCTGATTAAAAACAACCACAAAATCACAGATGTAAAACCAGCATGTAAATCTAAAACCACAGACAATATAACATGTAAAACAAGCTCCAGATCATCAACAACTGAAGGTAGATCTGAATAATAATAATAATAATAATAGTATATTTATATTGAGCATTTATCCATGCACATTGCATGCTCAAAGCGCTGACATATTACCCCTGGTCAACGAGTACAGAACACTCCATGTGGAGAATACAACCTGTCGCCTGTCAGGCACTCAAGGTTCAAATTCAGACTACCATCGTATCATACCAGGTACCCAGGTTTACTGCTGGGTGGACAGAGGCAATTTTGAACAAACTCACTTGCCTGAGGTGAGACCACATGTGTCACATATGCTTCGTTGTGGGGCAGGACTGAAGTCCTAGAAACTTTCAGGAGTCAAGCTGCCAAACACGGTCACCCATCCGAGGACTGTCCGCGACCAATGTTGCTTAACTTCAACTGATTGTGACCTGAGCTCTATGCACAGGACCACACACAACGTTTTTTTGAATAACAGAACCTAATCATTGATGTAATATAACATCAGCAGAGAGTTATGTCTTTCACTACCTTTCCATGAACTTGTCCATATCAAGGAGGGAGGGTGGGAGTTTATCTGTCAGCACAGCATTGATGGCCTGTTCCAGGTTGTAGCCGAACTCCTCCAACAAGACCTAAACACAGTGAGTGAGTGAGTGGCTGGGTGAGTGAGTGAGTTTTGCTTTACAGTGTGTAAGTAATATCACGGCAGTGAACACCAGAAATGGGCGTCACACAGTGTACCCATGTGGGGAATTGAACTCATGTCTTAGGCATGACTTTAACCAACAGACTACCCAACAATCTAAACTTTTGTGACAAATTTCATGCATAACAACTTTTCTACTCCAAAAGTGCGACATTTTGATTCTTGTACCATGGTTTGTTTTGAACAAAGTCACTTGTCAGTCCCTCCTGGATTCCGCGACAAATTTTTAAGAATTCCACAGCAATTTAAGTAAATTCTGCATCCCATTTTTCAAAATTCTGCAAAAACTTCTGCAATTAAAAACTTGAAAAAACACACAAAATAATGCAATTTCAATCTTCAAAAAGATCAATTTTGTGAACATAATTGTAGTGTCAAATTCAAATAATATTATTGTAAGGTGCTGAAGAGAATATTACCTTATGAATATATCATCTTTATTTGTGAATATTTTGAAAATATATCGTTATAACAAATGTCTCAGTTTGTTTTGTGTAACCAATCATGCTTTTGACATTTACTCCTACTTTTCGTTTCAGTTGATAGTCAATCTTGATTCAACTTTCAAAATGAGTAAATTCCACGGCAGAAAAATGGCAAATTCTGCAGGTATTCTGCATGAAAATGCGTTGTCCGTGGACCATACGTTTTTCTGCATCAAAAGGTAATTTCCGCGATTTATTCTGCAACTGCAGAATCGCTGAATCCAGGAAGGACTGACTTGTCGAAGCTGACGGAACATTTGTAGAATGCTTCTTAATTTACCTTACTTACGATGCATTCAAGTTTATAGCACCAATACAAAGAGTGAGCTGAGTCTTATGCCACAGCAATATTCCAGCATTATGGCAGCACCAGACAACCCAGCATGAACGTCGATCTATGCAACTGGGATAAGATGACATGTGTCAGCCAAGTCAGCGACCCTGACCACCTGATCCCGTTAGCCGCCTCTTACAACAAGCATGGGTTACTGATGTTTAATTCTAATCCAGTCACCAAAATAAAGAAGTTCTTGCACATGTGGATGCCTTGGGGGGCAGGTACTTGTACTAGTCCTGACTAACACTCATTTCCTAACTGTGCTAGCTCACTGGGAAACCTGCCCAAGTTTCACAGATACCCCCACTTCTTAACCAAGGGAGATAACTCTGTTCCGTGAATTGCAGCGCATAGGGCCCGTAAGTAGGTCACAGCACTTTGCGAGACCTTAGTACTTCCAGTGACAAACGTTTCATTCCTTTTCAAATGGTCAAATCGTCTCAGTTGACAGTAAGGAACCAATAGTCCTTGCAGGAATAACAAATTTCCGATCTAACCATCCCCAAATTAGCCAACTATTACGACTGTCAACAGCTGTGACAGCCAAGCATGGTTGTACACTTGGTCCGGTCTAGTACAGTCATATTTGGCGGTCGTGCAGTTTGGATTCAGAACCGTTTCTTGAATGTATAAACCTCCAGTGACGTCACTCTATTGTCTCGCCAGGTTCTTCTTTTTTTACCGAGTAAACCTCTGCAGGTAGTTTCGTGGGCATTCTCCAAGATATCCCGTGGATTTTCTGCAGAATTGCCCGCATCCCGGGGATTTTCTGAGGAATAGCCCTTGACGTTGAATTATTACTTGCTTTGAAGATTGATCTAACTTTGTCATGCTATCACTGAATTGATCAAAATATCACATGAAAACTTCCAATATGTAGTGCGCTGCCTGGTTTGAACCCTCTACCATTCACTTACAAGCTTGGCGGTTTTATCCCCTAGGCTATGATAAATCGCTATGAAGAATGAAATTGTCAGTATGAACCATGTGTTCCTCACAAGACAGGTAGTCCGGGCCACATTAGAACACAGTGAGTGAGTCAGTCAGTTTAGTTTTACACCACTTTTAGCAATATTCTAGCAATATCATGGCGAGGGACACACATTATACCCACGTGGGGAATCGAACCTGGGTCTTGGCGTGACGAGCCAACTCTTCAACCACAATCTACCTCACCGCCCAGACCACATTAGAACACAGCCAACAGTGACCTTGGAGACTCGTTTAGTTTAATTCCTACCTCAATAAAGCCCTCTCCAAGTTCCGGCAGCAGATCCTTCACAGATGAGATAAGCGAGTCTATCTCAATGATGGATGGACGCGGTGCACATGCTCCCTGAACATCCTGTAAGAAATACAAGTAGGACATAACTTTCATTACATAATACTGCACTGGCTTCTATACACTTGGTGAGTGCTCCAAGCACCATTACTATCATCAATGTCAAGGGACTGATTTACACTTTTGTGTCATTCTCAAAGTACTTGCAATACAAACCATACTAAATAATAATAATAATGGATATTTTAAGCATGCCATTTTCCACCCACTGATACATGCTCAAGGCGCTACATAAAAGCATTCATACAATGCATACAGAGGATAAAATAGTAAAATAAGTATACATTGAAACTGATGACAGAAAGATTGATTTTAGGGATAGGCTTTGGAAAAAAAGAAAGTCTTCAACTTAAGTTTTGAAAGTTTCCAATGTGGGAGACTGCTTTATGTGGAGAGGGAGAGAATTCCACAGAGTAGGACCAGCGTACTGGAAAGACCTCTTGCCAAAGGAAGAGAGGAGAACTTTGGGAATGGAGAGAAGACATTGGTCTTGAGATCTGACCTTTCCACATTATGAGTGAATGAGTATGATCTTACCACACATAAATGTCGTTTTCTGATTGGCTGAGCATTCTTCTATTATTTTAAATTTACCCTGCTTACAAGCCAGTAACATTTTCTATGTCATCCCCTTGAATGCCGAACTGTGTGAATTCATTTGTTTTTTTATCTCGAATAATTGAGTCACGTACGATTTACAGAAATTACCGATATTTTGTGAATGCAAATTGATGGAAGGGAGATAATTCTAAATTTGCTTTTCTTGTCGTCCTCTGTCGTCAGTATTAGCTAATTGCCTAACTCTGGTACTCTTTATTATGATCAGATACCCGTGCTTCAAACAGTTCAAGGGGCGGTGGGGTAGCCTAGTGGTTAAAGCGTTGGCCGGGTTCGATTCCCCACATGGGCACAATGTGTTAAGCCCATTTCTGGTGTCCCCCGCCGTGATATTGCTGGAATATTGCTAAAAGCGGCGTAAAACTAAACTCAGACAGTCAGTCAGTCAAACAGTTCAAAATTAACACTGAGGTGTTTGGTAAGTTAAAAGAGTTGTTCACTGGTCACGAGGGGGGCATAGGTTGATGTACCCTCTATGTTTGCTAATGTTCCCTGAGCCCGTAGTTTATATTGTTTTATGCTGTCTCAGCAATATTTCATGACTATCACACTGGGGGAAACAACTGGGCTCACACAGGGAATGGGAACAGAACCTTCAGCGGGAAGAGCAAACAACTTACCTGCCACTCTACCTCACCATCCATCTCGGTATTACAAGTCAAACTCATTGATAGGTACCAGTACCGTTAGAGAGTGAGTGAGTTTTACACCGATTTCAGCAATATTCCAGTAATATCATGGCAGGGGACACCAGAAATGGGCTTCACACATTGTGACCATGTGGGGAATCGAACCAAGGTCTTTGGCGTGACGAGCAAACACTTTAACCACTAGGCTACCGCACTGCTGTATATATTATCATTAAACAAACTGATCAAATTTGTAGAAATATTGAACCATGATACTTACATAATCCTCTGTCTGATAGACATCTCCACGATAGCCCTGGCCAGAGTAGTCATCCATTGACTCTCCATCAGCCTCACCCATAGCTCCGGCCCCTAGTGCACCAGCCCCGCCCCCCATTGCACCAGCCCCCCCCCATTGCACCAGCTCCGCCCCCTAAAGCACCTGCCCCGCCCATTGCTCCCTCCTCTAGTGGCCCTGGGGAGCCGTCAGGACTGGTCCTTCCGCCGGCAGACATGGCTCCCTTTGGTTTCTTCCTCTTGCCAAACGTAGCGAATGCGCTGTTGATAGCATCGTGGATGTATTGCACCTGGGTTTCATCACTGAACTTGTTAAAGAATCTTATTCTTTCAAAGTAGTTCATAATGAACAAAGCAACTTCCTAAAAGTAACATGTTACATTTGTGATTACAGTTCCTTATTAATTTATTCCATCTATATGCCGGCAGTCAGTAAACAATCAAATCTTGATCAGAGCAAAGGAACTGATCCAAACCTCAGTTAACAGTGAGTTTAGTTATACGCCACACTTAGCGATATTCCAGCTATATGGCAGCGGTCTGTAAATAATCGAGTCTGGACCAGACAATCCAGTGATTAACATCATGAGCATCAATCTATGCATCTGAGATACAATGACGTGTCACCCAAATCAGTGGGCCGATCCCATCAGTCGCCTTTTACAAGCATGGGTTGCTGAAGACCATTTCAAACCTGTCTCCTCTCTGGTTTAGCAATAAAAAGCTATTTAGATACATGTAAATATTCATCTTGGTCAAACTTTATGAGCTATCGTAACTCTCTGGTTCACGATTTCCTGACCACCAAAGCCTGTTAGTCGCCTTTGGGACAAGCATGGGTTGATGAAGACCCATTCTAACCCAGATCGTCACAGGGGAGACAAACATGGGCAGCTGAAGACCAATTCTAACCCGTATCTTCAAGGGTCTGAATGTCATTGTCCTAAGCTGAAGAGTAAGACATATTTTATTCCTTTTTCAGACCATTTGTTGTTCCACGGGCACTGGTGCAGACCAGTTTTAACGGGTTCTTCCCAGGTTGTTCAATGATGAGTAATGATAGTTCACCAGGAAGGATACATGTCACAAGATGTCTGACACATAATATCAGCATATTCCTGGAAGCTGTACCTGCTCTCGTAGTCAGCCAGGAACCTGCAACAAACACCATCCCATTATTAAATATATCCAAGGGACTGATGCATGTCAGTCGCTGTGGTTCTACAAAAATCTCACCACTGTGTTTTTTGTTTTGTTTGTTGTTTGAGTGAGTGAGTGAATTTAGTTTAACGCCGCACTCAGCAATATTCCAGCTATATGGCAAACGGTCTGTACATGATCAAGTCTGGACCAGACAATCCAGTGATCAACAGCATGAGCATCAATCTATGCAAGTGGGATACGATGACATGTGTCAATCAAGTCAGCGTGTCTGACCACCTGATCCTGTTAGTCGCTTTTTACGACTAGCACTCGCAGCTGTCCCATTAGTGAATCAGCGAGTTTAATTCTACAGCACACAGTGAGTGGTTTTACACCACTTTCGGCACTATTCCAGCAAGGTGAGGTCAAATTGGGTTTAACGTCGTTCTTGAGAATATTTCGCTCATATGACGACGTGCATGCGTGTGTATGTGTATGTGCGGCTGCTTGTACTAGCCCAGACTTAAGCTGGTTTCATAGTGCTAGACCACTGAGATACCATGCCGCAGTGAAGCATGAATACCCCACCCAGACACATTATACTGACTCCGAGCCGACCAGTCCTTGTTGTACCCATTAATGCCGAGCGCCAGGCAGGGACCAACAAGTACCACATTTTAACGTCTTTTGGTATGACGCTTTTACCACTACACCATGGAGGCGGTCTAAGAGTGAGTGAGTGAGTGTGGTTTTACGCAGCTTTTAGCAATATCACGGCAGGGGACACCAGGAATGTGCTTCACACATTGTACACATGTGGGGAGTTGAACTCGCGTGACGAGCAACAACTAGGCTGCTCAGCCGCCCATAGGGAAGCAGCCTCACACATTATAAGAAACAGCCTCACACATTACAAGAAACAGCCTCACATATTATACCATGTTGGGAATCAAACCCTGTCTTAGACGTGACAAGAACTGCTTTAACTACTACACTACACTACTGCCTGTTGGTGCTACTGAACATCAAACTTTAATTATGGTGAATATTGAGGTACGTATCGTATCGTGACGAAGTGTGAATTGTTTACCTGCGTTCTCCCAACACAGCAGACATGGTGTGAAGGAAGTCTTCTATGTTTTCTGCCACCTCTTCTCCCCTGAAAACCAACCACAGTTTTACATGGTGTCATAGACATGCCGATTCCAGTAATAGTGAGTGAGTGAGTTTAGTTTTACGCCGCTTTTAGCAATATTCCACCAAAATCACGGCGAGTGACACCAGAAATGGGCTTCACACATTGTACCCATGTGGGAAATCGAGCTTTATCCACTAGGCTACAGGTTCTTAATAGTGAGTGATGAGTTTAGTTTTACGCTTTTAGCATCCACTAGGCTACAGCACTTGCCCATGTGGGATTCTTCGGCGTGATGAGCTTAACAGTAATAGGCAACATTAAATAGGCAGTAACAGTTTCAATTATCCGATGTTAAAAGTAATAATGCTCTTACAGTTTCTGATGATTTGGAGGTTAACTGAACGTCAACGTTATTCCTTCTAAAAACACTGCCTACCTGTCCCCAAACACCACCTTCAACATACCAACAAATACTACTCCTCATCAAGCACCACCCATTCTCCCCAAAACACTGTCCAGATATTCCCTAACACCTTATAACTATCACTAAGCACTGCCTAGTTTTTCCCAAACAATGTCTAGACCCTCCAGATAGGGCCTAATTCTCCAAAAACCAGCAACACCCCCACCAAACATCACCTATTCATCCACAAGCACCACCAATCCCTTACCATCAGTGTGCGAAATAGCCACTGACCCGCTAGCCCGTGGCTTGTCAAAATCCAGTCGGGCCAGTAAATCTCCACAATCATTGGCCCCGACTGGCTAGTGAATTTTCATTGGGTCATTTTGTAAATATATCACTCTCTCCGACTTGTTAAATTATAATACTCTTTTACACGATGCAAGATTATGCCCTAATAAAAATGTTAATCATATTAGCAGCTTTTCTAGATTAATTTCTACATTGAAATTTCAGGCAAGTGAATTATTTTGTGGGCTAGCAACTTTCAGGCATAGCTAGCCCGACACGGTAGCGAAATTTGGAAAATATTTCGCACACTGCTTACCAAAACAATTTCTACTCTCCTATTAACAACCATCTACCCCTCCACAAATGCTAAGCCTGTCCAAGAACCTTAACCCTCCCCAAAAAGCTGCCTGTACCTCCCCAAGAAAGGCTACAGCTCCCCAAATGTTGCCTCCCCAAGAGGACACAACCCCCTTAAACTGTTGCCACACCCCATCCCCACAAAGAGAACACCCCCCTCTTCAGCGTGAGCCGAAGTGCATCTTACCCCTTCTCCAGCACTGGCTCGATACAGGTGTGCCCTAGGATGGTGTGGAATATCTTCTGTAACGACTTCCTGGACTGATGCAGTTTCTGCTTCAGCAACCTCTTGTGGCTGAAATATGACAAGCATCAACGAGTGAGTGAGTTAGTTTTATGCTGCTTTTAGCAATATTCCAGCAATATCATGGTTGGGACACCAGAAATGGGCTTCACACGTTGTACCCATGTGGAGAATCGAACCTGGGTCTTCGGCGTGACGAGCGAACACTTTAACCACAAGGCTTCCCCTACCAATGAGTGAACCCAACATCAAGAATGAGCTCAATGAGTCTATGGTTCATTTTTGACATTGCATCTCAGCTTAATGTTCCTTTGATCAGTATCTGGCTACTTAAGAGGATTTGAGAATTCATTGGTTTTACTCAGTAATAACCCAGCTATTTGACCACTACATGTAAATAATTGCGTGACTGAGTTTAGTTTTATCCTGCACTCAGCAATATTCCAGCTATATGGCGGCGGGCTGTAAATAATCGAGTCTGGACCAGACAATCCGGTGATCAACAGCATGGGCATCGTTATTCGCAATTGGGAACAGATGACATGTGTCAACCAAGTCAGCGAGCCTGACCACCCGACCCCGTTAGTCGCCTCTTACGACAAGCATTGGTTACTGAAGATCAATTCTAACCCGGATCTTCATGGGACGTAAATAATTGAGACTGCACCCAACAATCTAGTGATTGACATTATGAGTGACCATCCACAGCATCTGCATCATGCCGTCAATGAAGTCTGCACATCTGTCTGCCAATCTGCAAACACGCACAGTGTGTTTCTGTGCATTTATGGGCGGTGGGCTAGCCCTAATGGTTAAAGTGTTGGCTCGTCACGCCAAAGACCCGGGTTCGAATCCCCACATGGGTACAATGTGTGAAGCCCATTTCTGGTAGTGGTGTCCCCCGCCGTGATGTTGCTGGAATATTGCTAAAAGCGGCGTAAAACCAAACTCAGTCAGTCAGTTCTGTGCATTTATCTGTGTTTGTGTGTGTCTGTTTGTCTGTGTCCATGTTTTATCTTCTCCCATATTTTAGTGTGGCATGGCTGGTGATCAAAACACTGGAAGTCAATGTTATTTGTAACCATGGTAACATTCCTCACCTCATCGTCTCAAATTCTCGCACTTTCAGAGCAGCTTGTATCTCGGGAACAATCCCTTCATAAAAAGATGCTAATCTGAAAAACAAAGAAGAAACATGACTGAATGAATGAAAACGTTAGAAGGATTTATGTCAATTTTAGCAATAATCTAACAATATCCCGGAAGAGGACAAGAGAAATGGGCTAACAATAGTACCCGAAGAGAATAAAACCCAGGCCTACAAATGGGCAAACACTTCAACCACAGGCTACTGCATCACTATAACTTTCCCTGATTTGAGATGTTCAGCTAAAACCCAGGCCTACAGTATGACAAGCAAACACTTCAACCACTAGGCTGACTGCATCACTGAATTTTCCCTGATTTAATCTAATATGTTCAGCTAAAAAATGGGCTTCACATTGCTTTGTGGGATTGAACTTGTATTTCACGTGAAAAAGCTTTAACCATGAGACCAATAAAAAGGAAGAAACTTTAAAGCTTTGGTATATATTATTGTCTTGAATGATATATCAAAACACACTAAAATATATCTGAATTTAAGTAAATAAAACTGAAAAGGTATTTTTAGATTAAAAACATTGTTTTAACAAGCTTACATTCAGACGTACTTATGCTTATGCCTACCTGTTAAGCTTCCTACCGTAAGTCGAGTGGAAACGAGGTGTAATCACAACACAACCCCACCTGTGCAATTACCTCCCCTTCCCTGTCACCAATCTTTCCGGAGCCCAAGGCCAAAAGCCAGAGAAGAGCAACAAACAGGCCAAAGTCCAGAGGGGTGGATGGGTGGGACTAAACGGTACATCTGAATGTAAGCTTGTTAAAACAATGTTTTTCTTCAACGATATGTTCCATTGTCAAGTATTTCCAAGACTAAAACAGTTGTTCCAAAATCGTTTATGTTCGATTATGATAAAATGTGATCGATTGCTTGGTCGTTTGGTCACTGCAATCAATCTTCGATTATTTCAATTAATCGGAACACCACTAGTTCATAGGAACCGCTAGTAAGATCACACAGAACGATGTTAAGATCCCAAGCATGAGGACGGAATTTACAAACTTGATCCTCCAAAGAACAAGTCCAAAGGAGTTTTTGAAGGGCAGGAACTTTCGTGGGTTTGTCACCCGAGACAACTGAACTGATGGCAGCCAAATAAGTCGAGATGGTCGAACCCTTGAGACGCCATGAGGACCGAAGGTGAACTAAGAAATCAGCCACCTGTGGACGCGTAGCAGAAGATAGAACAAGCCCCTGTTTCCAAAGAGAAGGGAAACCCACTTATCATCATACAGAAATCGTGAACACGATGAGCTGATAAAAAAAGCGCGGCAGCCCAACCAAGTAACCCTTCTTGATCAAGGAAGCTGTGAGCAATTCCTCTTGAAGTTGGAAGGCGTTGCTGTTTGGATGCAACAGAAGATCCTCCCAGAATGAAACAGCGAGTGGAGGCCGATTAACAACCCGTAACAACTCCGGGAACCACGTCCTTGCCGGCCAATAAGGCGTGACCAAAAGCAGACAAAGTCGATTGGTCTGTCGAATCTTCTCCAAGATCAAATGTAACAGAATCGTGGGAGGGAACGTGTAAGCGTCGAGACCTTCCCACGATATCGCCAGGGCATCGTGGTCCCAAGTCAGCGGATCCGAGACAGGAGACACGAAGCGAGGGAGACGATTGTTGTGCCGTGTCGCAAACAGATCCACCTGTGGAGTCCAGAAAAACTCCGTCAGATGGGATTGAGCATCCACTCTGTGGGAGAGGGACGAGATGGATGCAAGAGAGCGTCGCAATCACGTTTCTGGCCCCGGGAATGTGACGCACCCGGGCCTCCATGTGTCAGGCATCAGCAAGGGCGAAGAACTCAAACGTGAGGTCGAGGAGAGCAGATGACTGGGTCGATCGCAGTCGGTTGATGTAGTAGACGACCGTCACATTGTCCGACTGTATCACCAACCACCTGCCGAAGAGGCGACGTTCCCAATTTCAAATGGCCCGAATGACTGCGTCGAATTCGAGACAACTGATGTGACAAACCTGTTCATCTGGTAACCACTGCCCGGGGACCTGATAGTCTTCGAAATGAGCCCCCCAACCTTCGACGTAGAGATGAGACTGAAACTGAGGCACACTCATAGAGACGCTTTCGCAAACGTTCAGCGGCAGGTGCCACCACTCCAGATGACGACGGAGATGAACTGGCAAGTAAAGCAGACCATCGTGAAACAGCAGATGGGGGTAAAGAAATCGCTGCAGGGGACGAAGGTGGAGTCGACCGCAAGAAGTGAGACGTCAACAGTCCCAAAACCTCCTGCCAACGATGCACCATCGCCGGCGCAGGCAGAAGGGTGGGAAGGCAGGCGACGATCTTGTCCCATCAATCTGGAGGAATCACAACCAGATTGAGCGCCGTCTTGAAACGAATGCCCACGCATGTCAAATCCTGGGTGGGGATAACTCGGACTTCTGGAGGTTGTAATCCACCCTAGCGAAAATCGAGGGTGGTAATCATCTCCAGACGTAAGTCCGACAGGATTTGATGCCCTTGCAGACCATTGTCTAGGTAGAAGGCAACCCTGATAGCTTGGCGATGAAGAAAATCCACGACCGGTTTCATAATGCGAGAGAAAATGAACGGGCCATGGAAATTCCAAATGGAAGGGCTGCCCATTGGTAATGAATGCCTTGATAAACAGAACGGAGATATTTCTGGAACCCCTGGTGAATCGGAACATGTAGATAGGCGTCCTGCAGGTCTATCAATATGACAAAATCGTTTGGCAGAACCATCCAACAAAGAGAACTGAGAGAGATCATGGTGAACTTGTCCGGTGGATGGAGATACGTGGCATTGAAATGCTTCAGATTCAAAATGAGGTGCATTTTGGACAAGTTCTTCTTCGGAACAAGGAAGATAGGGGCGACATCACCGAGGATCCGAGGCGTAACGGCCGCCTTCTCTACCAAAGTGATGATGGCCTCCGTCAGCCGGGCCATTGGTGGAATCTTGTTTGGTTGGGGGGCATAACCCCTTGTCAAAAGTCGTTGAACAAACGGGTCGTCTAAAACGGCCGATCTCTGAGAACAGAACCGAAGCCTCCCGCCAACCGGTGGCGTTTCTAATGGTTGCGCCACTGGAAGAGAAATCGGATCACTCCCGTGTGCCCTTACCTCCACGTTACGGCGTGGAAAATGACACCCATCTTCTATCTACAACAGATCGTCGGTCGCGACTGGTCAAACGGTTTGCTCGAAAAACCTTCTGAACATAACGTTGTCGGTATCGTTGTTCAGGAACATTGTGGACCGGCTGGCGACATACAGGTCGCTGGGTAGACGATATAATCAATTGTTTCTCGCTCTCCAGCTCGTACTTGTCCAAAACTGAAGAAATGGCTCCATTGAATAATTGAGAGGAAGTCCATTTTTCCTGTAAAAGCGGCATAGTGTGTCGGTCCGGGAGCTTAGACATTGTAAGAAAACCTTGTCGGTGAAGTTGAGTGACCTGCCCTGAAATATAACGAGTATGTGCTAGCGCGTCCGAAGTCCTCTTATGTACGCAAGACAGTGTAGCCATCACCATCAATCCATGGAATGCTCAAAACTGTCCCAACAATCCGATCGACCAGAAGGCTTCAACGAAGTATCCCCCTGACGTGATGAATGACTGCTCGCACGAGAACGATGCGCACGAGAGGGTGTGTCGACACGTGCCCTAGATTCCTTCTTAGCTGGAGTAGGTAACGACGAAACCACATTGCATGGAATCGCATCAACAGTAGATCGTAATTCCACCATATCAGTATTTTCAGTCGACACAGACACGGTCCGTTCCCTCTGCCTAACATCCTAACGATCAGCACATTCAATTGAGTCGCTATCGCTTGAGTCGGTAGTCGACAACCAACTTTTTTACCCCGATTCTGGTTGGTTGACAGACGATGTACCCGGATCGACACAAGATGGCAAAGTGACAGTGGGAGACGGCTCAGTCGAACTTTTATCTCTGGATGATAAATCATCGATGATGACAGGCTCCTCCGTCCGATCCCAAGATGAAGCACGCTTCTTCTTATAACACCGATCAGCCTCCTGCTTAACAACAGCTTTCAAATATGCAGTGAAATCCTCATCGGACAGTTTACCACACAAAATGCACTTCTAAGTCAACGGAACATGGGACATAGCCGTCCTTCGCAAGGCAAGACTGACAAAGTTTCTGTTGACATTGGGAACACCAAGAAGCCATGCTTCAGTCCAACCACATGTGTTCCAAAATATTGTGCAAAACAATGTGTTCAAATTGTTCAAATTCACGGGGGAAAAGTCACCAGAGCAACCAAGACGTTTACACCAAGGAAAAAAAGGTAAGTAAAACTTTACTACACAACTCAACAACACTTCCAACAAAGGAAAAATATAGAGCTCTATTCGACACGTCCTACAGGTAATGAGCGCAGGAAAGATTGGTGACAGGGAAGGGAGGTAATTGCACAGGTGGGGTTGTGTAAACACCTCGTTTCCAATCGACATACTGTAGGTAGCTTAACAGGTAGGTATAAGCATAAGTACGGCTGAATGTAACCTAACACAACAGATTTTTTTCAAATTTGCCTGCCAGAGGCACTTAGCTCAGAATCCTGGATGAATCCATGCACATACCTGCTAGAGATGAGTTAAATCTTCCCAAACATGTTCAATTTCTAAAAGTTTGACTCCATCCAAGATTTGATATTACTCATTTCAAGACTGGTCACAGTATTTTTGTTACAACAATATTGACATTGTTAAGAGATTCAGTTTCATGACAAAAATATCATTTTGATTGTCACCTATACTATCCTAACAAAATCACAAAATATATATATATAGACTGAAACAATCAAATATTTGCTGTAAACAAATACCCTACAAATGTTGGAACTACAGAGACAAACCATTGAACAGAGGCCCAGATAAGCTGGGTATCCGGCTAAAATACGCATAAAAATTTTCCAATTACGCATTGAAAAATAATTGTTGCATACCAATTACGCATTTAAATGTTAGTTACGCAAAAAGTTTAAAACAAATGCGTACAGAATATATTTATAAAAATCGCTTGCGTAATGAAAAAGACATCGATTGCTATCAAGTTGTACTGTTAGTATAGGACAAGTGTTGTACTGTCAGTATAGGATGAGTGATTTTTTATGAAATCATTTCCATTATATTTAAGTTGGTTTTGATTAGGTATGACATAAGGCAGAACATACCTGCTTAGTAAACTTACTCAATGACATAATACTCAGGTGAGTAAAGTGACTGAAATACGCACATATTTGAAAGCAGTGGGTAACGGAAAATGAAATACCCACTCAACATTCATAATACCCACTCCAAAAAAAAATACAGTGGGTACAGTACCCACATGAGCTAAATCTTATCTGGAGCTCTGCATTGAACACACTAATTCATGTATAATCTTGTGGTTTATAAATAAAGATAACATTCCCAAATCCACTTTTCTGACACACCTCTGTTCAAACTTGAACTCATGGAAGATGTGAGCAGCTGGAGGATACACGTCAAGGAAGTTGGATATCGTGATGGCCGTGTCCGCCAGGTAGAATATCACATCTTGGAACTCCTTAATCGTCATGGTGAAGAGGCGTGGATCCTTACTGCGGGCCTTTGCCAATTTTTCGGGTGCAAAGGAGGATGTGACACCGCACATGTCCTGAGTGTTCTCCAGCACCTGAAGGTCAAGGTCAAGAGGTCAGAAGGTCAAGGTCATACTTTCCGGGCAAAGTTCAGCACATTGACCTGGTTATGAACATTCAAAATTTGACCTCAGCATGCACCAAATTGTCATGACCTGCATTGAGCATCCCAAGTTCAAGGTTAGGTGCTTCTTTAGAAACAATGAAACCATTTGAGAAGGTAAAATAGTTGATATTAATCATCACATTGGCATTATTTCAGCCATATCATGATGATGGTTCAATTGAAATTTTAAAAAATTATAATGCAACTGAGCACTACTGAAAATATTTTCACCTGTTGCAAAATTTGACGAATATAAATGCTGGGAGATCAATGAAAGAGTCACAAGTAACATATTTTAACATGTGTAGAGCTTGTTTTTATACAGGACAAAAATACTGTGCATCATATCATTGAATGAAAACTCATGATGCACCTATATATCGGTTCACTATGTTCACCACTACCAAAATCCTCGATAATCTCCAGGGTATACGTTTCCATCACTCTCCACTATACCCAGGGATGAGAATGAAGTTTTGAGAAAAACTCTGAAACCTAGCCGGGGGGTTGGCATCTATCGCATTTAGACGATTCACAAAATGACCCTTGGCCTAATGAAATTCCCGGGAATTCCGCAGATCCGCCGAAAATTCTCATCCCTGTATACCCTGGATGCATCCACGGCTTGGCCCGATGATTTTATTACCTCCATTGGCTGGCTTTTTATCCAATCAGGTATCTATGCTGGGAAGTTGAGCGAACCTATCACAACACACTTTCGCTTCTTAAATTATCTAACCGTATAAACTTGGCAACACAATTGATGCAGAGGTACTCTGAAAGAGGTAGAAGGAGTTCTTTCTGTATTTTTTGAAAGTTTCAGATCTGTCAATTTGTCTGTATTGTTTCCTCAAAAATCTGAGTGGCACTGCGAACAAACCTGTGACCGCTATCTTTGTTGACACTGGCAAGCTTGGATGTAACGGCAGCTTAGCTGATTGGCTACTGTGAGAATGCGGAGCCAGCCAAGGGAGGTAATCAAATCATCGGGACAAGCCGTGGATGCATCCAGGGTATAGTGGAGAGTGATCGTAACGTATACCCTGGAGATTATCAAGGATGCACTACCAAATGTATTTTAGTTTCTTATAGTTTTACAAAATCTCTTCTCCTATACACTAGAACATACCTGTATGATAGTGGGGATGGTTGCCCTCAAGTCATCAGCATACTTCGGCTGCTGTGTGAAGATATTTGTGATCATTTTTGTCAGAAGAGCTCCATTCCCATTGCCGTACAGAACACACAAGTCAAGCAGCTTTGGCACATCGAAGATGAAGTTCTCGTACAGGATATCACCAAACACATTTGGAGTGATATGGTCATCCTACAAACAAGAGTGAGTGAGTTTAGATTACGCCGCTTTTAGGCGAGGGACACCAGAAATGGACTTCAAACATTGTACCTATGTGGGGAATCGAACTTGGGTCTTCGGAGTGATGAGCAAATGCTTTAACCACTAGGCCACCCCACCGCCCCCCAAAAACAAAAGGAGTATAAGTGAATCAGTATGGTTTTATGTCGCTTTTAGCAATATTCCAGCAATATCACAGCAGGGGAGGGGGAAAGGGCTTCACACATTGTACCCATGTGGGGAATCGAACCTGGGTCTTCAGTGTGATGGGCAAACGCTTTAACCACTAGGCCACCCCACCGCCCCCCAAAAACAAAAGGAGTATAAGTGAATCAGTATGGTTTTATGTCGCTTTTAGCAATATTCCAGCAATATCACAGCAGGGGACGGGGAATGGGCTTCACACATTGTACCCATGTGGGGAATCGAACCTGGGTCTTCAGTGTGATGGGCAAACGCTTTAACCACTAGGCTACCCCACCGCCCCCAACAAACAAGAGAAGGAGTATGAGTGAGTGAGGTTAGTTCTACGTCGCTTTTAGCTATATTCCAGCAATATCACAGCAGGAATGGGCTTCACACATTGTACCAATGTGCCCATGTAGGGAACCGAACCCGGGTTTTCGGCGTGACAAGTAAACGTTTTAACCACTAGGCTACCCCACCGCAACACTGAACACCAACAATCAAACAAACATTACTTGTGATACAATTCCTCTTCTGATAGGCCAAATAGATTTGTGAGTTGTCTTCATGATTTGTCATCACTCATTTACCAAGTTCATCCCCTGATCAAGTTAATACACAGAGTGTTTAACATATTGTGAGAAAGATGAAATAGGGTTTAAGTGAACGAGTTGGGTTTTACGTCATTTATGACTTTCAGCAATACCCCAGTGAGTGAGTGAGTGAGTTAGTTTTACGCCGCAATCAGCAATATTCCAGCTATATGGCGGCGGTCTGTAAATAATCGAGTCTGGACCAGACAATCCAGTGATCAACAGCATGAGCATCGATCTGTGCAATTGGGAACCGATGACATGTGTCAACCAAGACAGCGAGCCTGACCACCCGAACCCGTTAGTCGCCTTTTACGACAAGCATAGTCGCCTTTTGTGGCAAGCATGGGTTGCTGAAGAACTATTCTACCCCGGATCTTCACGGGTCGCAATACCCCAGGAATATCATGGATACCAGAAATGGGCCTCATATGTTGAAACCTTTTGGGAATCGAACCCCAGCCTCCAGTGTGACAAGCAAACACTTTAAGTTTAACCATTAGACTACCCCACCATCCGCCGTGATGTTGCTGGAATATTGCTAAAAGCGGCGTAAAATCTAACACAGTCAGTGAAATGGGGTTTAACAGTTCTGGTGTCCCCCGCCATGATGTTGCTGGAATATTGCTAAAAGCGGAGTAAAACCTAACTCAGTCAGTCAGTCAGTGAAATGGGGTTTAACATCAGGTTCAAGCTTATCTGACTTCTATAGTAATATAACAGTATGAGTATGAGCGGCGCGGTGGGCGAGCTGGCTAAGGCGCCAGGCTACTGATCCGGCGAGGTTGAGGTGTCGGGATCCAGCCAACCTGTGCCCGCATGTAAAAACCTTGGAGTCAACTTTGTGTGCAGACTCTTTCAGTGTTGTCACAACCCCTAGTGTACAGTACACAACCCCGTGCACTTAAAAGAACCCACGAATCCGTTGGTATATGACCAGATGGTTGACACATGAATACGTGCAAACACCCAGTTGCGGGTACAGCAACGTGCAGTGAAGTTGGACAAAGTACTGTGACTATGTGTCCCAGTCCACCCAGCTGTGAATGGGTACCTCGTTAGGATGAGAAAGCCACAATAACTCGGTGCGCCTTGTACATGTAGTGCTTATGAAATGTAAATTTAATGACAAAGACAAAACCAGCCTTGTGAAAAATATTGTTAATGAAAACAAGTGTTCCAAGATTGGTCGTGTTCGATTATGACAAAACATGTTCGATTGCTTGGTCGTTTAGTTACTGCGACCAATCTTCGATTATTTCAATTAGTGGTTGCTTTATTGTTAAACGCCACACTATGGCGACATTCTGTAAATAATCAAGTCTGGACCAGACAATCCAGTGATCAACATCATGAGCATCGATCTATGCAACTGGGAACCGATGACATGTGTCAACCAATTCAGCGAGCCAGACCACCCGATCCCATTAGTCGCCTCTTACAACAAGCATGGGTTATTGATCTTCACGGGTAGGTGTATAGAAGTGGTTTGTCATTCATTACATTGCTGCTATAATACGCTCTGACCAGACAATCCAGTGATCAACAGCTTGAGCATTGATCTATGCAATTGGGATACAATGACATGTGTCAACCAAGTCAGCAAGCTTGACGTAGTAGGATGTGGCCAGGGATCGAACCACACGTTCTGCTCCACAGGCAGACACCTAATCCACTTGACCATGAAGACGGTCATGACAGAAGAGAGAATAACAAGCTTAAAGGGGGATTTATGTCCACATTCAGCAGATCCCAGCACAGCTAAGGGACACAACTCTCCGTAAGGAATTGGTGTTCCTTATACCACTGGTCCACATAATGTTATTGATGAAGACAGATATATAGAACAGACAGATTTCCACCTTTGATTCCTTGTGAGTGGCCATTCTAACACAGGTCATGAAGACTAGACGATGTACTTCTAGGTGGCGCTCCCTCCCATCGTTTGGAAGATCGTAGATTACATCATACGACCTGGAAATAGGATGCAATTTACACATTTTCATAACAGTCCTTTACCATGTTTACAACAGACATGAAATGTCGAATGACAAAGTCAGATATTGTCAAATTTTGTTATGAAACCCATCAAAACTATGACTGACAAAAAGCCCATTTTCATTCTAAGTTACACTAGCCAGATTTTAAAGTATTTGCATATGACTACAGTGCACTCTGTCAAACTCGGACTCTGTCTTTCTCGGATTGCTGTATAAACAGGACTGAACTCACGGTCCCGACGTAATCCTTCTTTGTTGTCATAATAAAAAAGTTCTGTATCTCGGACTCTCATTATTTCGGATTTCGGACCAAAGTGTCGGCCCGATAAGGTAGTTACATGTAAAAACATTGCTATATAATTCGGACTGAGCAGGAAGTCCGCTTGGACACAGTGTGATATCAATCAGTTGTAAGAAGCGATTTTATTGGATAAAGATTGGTTTCTAATGACGCTTTTTCGCCACAGTCTGCTATCAGGGTCGTGATTGGTCAAAATCAGACACATGACCTAAGGCAGCCAATCATATTACGGCAATGGATACCGCCCTCAGAACGAAAACTTTTAGATTTAGACAAAAGTTCTGGGTAAAATAATGCTATTCTGAACATATTAAGTAAGGAATTGCTACCTATCACGTAAATGATGGAACGTATTCGACTTATCGTGCTAGGCTATGACCTGTGACAAAAATGCTTCATGTATATATTTTCGCATTGAACATCGTGTCCAAGCCTGAAGATTGAGGCAGCGAGAGCCGAGATGTCACTTGTCAGTGACTTGACTTACATTACATGATCGCACAAACAGATGGAAATAGTAATTTTATATGTACGTTTGACAACTTTTATGAATGTTGTTTGATTTCATTCATTAGTTTATTCAATTTATTTCATGAATTTTGCTCTTTGACAATGTTATTGTGGACCCGCTGCCGAAGCAGGTGTCCGAGAATCGTTGTTTTCAATAACATTGCGAAAAATAGTTTATAATTTTAATTCTGCTGATAATAGGGAGATAACTCCATTAAAATCTGTGTACTTTGGACTACTGTATAATTCGGACTTTTTAGTCGGTCCCAAGCTGGTCCGAATTAGACAGAGTGCACTGTATAAAAATGTGTGAAACAGCAGAAATATTTTGCATTTCCACACATTCAAGAGGAAATATAACAATGAGCGAATATGTGAAGAAGAATGTTTACCACATTCTTAAACTGTCTTTAAAGTATATTTTCTTAAAAATCAGCTTTAAAAAAAATTCACATTCAGATTTCAGCAGAATGTCTCCTGCAATATGTGTTCTGCTAACCTTTAAAACCACATTTGTTCACGTATTTTGAATCAACCTGAACATTAAAACACTGTTAAGAGTAAATATGCACAAGTTCAACAGAAAAGACCAATATCAACAAAACAATAATGCAAATCTGTTTAACTTTAGCTCTAACTTTCTTTCGACACTTAAACACACATGAATGGTTACCTTGGAGAGAAACGGAGATATGTGTCCAACAATGTCAGCAAACTCTCATTAAACACAGCCTGAAAAAACATAAATATTGTTACTGACATGTCTCAGACTTGGAGCCAAATACAAGTCTCTAAGCAGTGTTAGATTAATCCCAACAATTGTTCATTGTTTCACAATTACCTGACACCAGAACTTGTCGTGTGGAAGCTGAAGCAGCCAGTGAAGATCCTCAGCTATGAACTTTAATCTCTCCAGCCATTGTTCATACTGACCCCTGTCTGTTATGTCGGTTGGGGGCAGAGTGTAAGCAACAAACACCATCTTCTCAAGCCATTTGGGATGCTAAACAAAACAGAAAATATAAGTCTGAAAACATCTTTCCCAAAATTTGACCCTTTGTTGTTTTTACCTCCTCATATTTCACTTTACTTGGAAGCAAGATCAAGTCAAGGCAAGGATCTTGATACTTGACATTGTCTCAATTTATCACAAATTTTGCTCAACACTTTTATTCAAGTTGTTATTTTTGCAGTTTGTCTTTATTCAAGTTGTAATTTTTGCAGTTTGTCTAATAGAGTATGGCAAAGCAAGAAGACTTATATATTACTTTTTGCTTATATTCGGCCTACCTTTAGAATACAGCACCACAAACTTTAAAAATACGTCATAATACCCTTTTACGTAATTATAAGTGATTTTGTTCGAAAGCAGGTTCTCGAAACAATGCCCTATGACGTCTGCATAGCAACACGGTTGTCTAGCTCAGCGAGTGCAAATAAGCTCCGTTCACTGATGTTTCATCTCTACTAGCCTTGTCACTGCATAAGCCCAACGATGTTGAGAGCTTCCAGTAGTTGTATACCGGCGGATGCGCAATTTTTTGCAAGCACCAGTTTGAAATATTTTTCTTTTTTCACTAATACGCTCATATTTATTTGTATTATGGGGTGCTGAGGTGCATGTTTTGTGTATTATTGTATTTTGTATTTTTAAATTTAGTAAGAATGCGTTACACCAGTCACATTCTGCCATATTCTACTATTCACAATTTTGGTCAATTTAATTATTTAAATTATGGATAAATATACTTTATATTTCCGTTTCAACGTAACTATTAGGTCTAAATCATTTACAAATGCGAACTGACATACATATTTTCTTCATTCAGTAATCTGCACCATTACATAGAAATGTTTTTTATTAGTATTTTATTTTTCGAAGCGGTGAGAATGTGTTACACTGGACACATCAGCAATGTCCGTGTCGGTTCGGTCAATCTATTCTATTTATTAGGATTATTTCAAGGAGTTAGGGTTAGGGTTTAGGGTTTAGGGTTTGGGGTTTGGGGTTAGGGACCTAATCCAGTATAGTAGGTACATGTCCGGTACCATTTGCCGTTTTTCCTTTTGCATTTTATTTGCATACCTTATTCACACAAAAACGGGAAACCAAAAACGTCGAAAGTACACTATGAAACGGGTTGATGTAGAAATTTTGGGATAGTGGAAATTGGCCTGGAATTTGTACTCAAGCCTCTTTCACACGCAACATTTGTTCAGTAATGATTCGAAGGCTAACTCACCCTCGTGCCGTCACTAGACATGCTCAGCCCATGTCTCGCTCGTTCCTTAGCGCGATCCACATTATCCTTACAGTGTTCCCTACATCACTTTTCTGTCACAAAATCACCCTGTTTTTCATTCATGCATGCATGCATTGTGAAATCGACGTCAACAACCCTTTTCAGTTTGAGCCATATCAGCTCATTCCCAAACCACACGGTATCTTGTAGATTACGGAATTGGACCCATTTCATAGCGTAACAAATGGCATCGGGTCCATCCGGCAATTGTCCGTAGATTAAAATCACGAGACACCAAGTCTACCCGTAACCTTCGTAATTGTCCGTGACCTATTCGACTCTTTCCATTCATTTCTGTGAATTCACAGGAATGACTCGATAAATTTGCACATTGTGTAACAGTGTGGATGTATGTCAGTCGGTTAGCTGTCAAGCTAACAATCCGAAGGTCGTGTCCGATGGGCTCTCACAAACTGGTTGCTTGTCTTAAAGACACGTGATCGACGGCAGAGATCGTCCTCACGAGAAGTTGTGGTGCTGTATTCTACAGGTGCTCCCTATATTCTTATTGCACAGGGCAGTGGGGTAGCCTAGACTCTTAGCATTCGCTCGTCCGTCAAAGACCCTGGTTCGATTCCCCACATGGGCACAATATGTGAAGCCCATTTCTGGTGGGCTAGAATGCACTTTACCGGGCACAGCCCTCGCTGCTCCCTTTACGATCCTTAGGGTTAGGGTTTAGGGTTAGGGTATGCCACCCTTTACGATCCTTAGGGTTAGGGTTTAGGGTAAGGGTATGCCACCCTTTACGATCCTTAGGGTTAGGGTTTAGGGTTAGGCATCCTTTACGATCCTTAGGGTTAGGGAACCCCAGCAACGATAATTAATCTGAAAAAGTGCAGTACTCCCTTCTGGTGTCCACATTCGTGATATTGCTGGAATATTGCTAAAAGCGTCGTAAACTGAACTCACTCACTCACGCTTATTGCACAACGAAACATTCCGACATTTTGAGCATTCCATACAGTCGGGAAAACTTCAATTTCTAGACAAAATAGATTCATCTGTTTATGACAGTTAATTATTCAGTACCATCAGAAGATAATTATACCATACCAATGCTGGTAGATGATCCCTCTTGCCGCTACTATCATCAAAAGGAACTTGTTTCTTGTCAAGTGGAGTGGACATGTTGTCACTTTCGGTCTGCAAAAATGACCTCCACCTTGCTCAGGGACCATTTATTCACCATAATAAATAACCAGTATTTTGCTTTTATTTTTACGCATATCAAACTCAACGACTGGCATATATTTTAAAGAAACTAGTATAAAGGGATATGCACACTAAATCAGATGGTATATTGGGGTATCTGTAGCGTAAACAGTAACCCCCCACCTCGAGATGACTTACGGATGATCCCTCATTTACTGCTGTCCTGTTGTCATGGCGGTGAGTAAAGAAGAGTATTTGAAACGTTATATGTCGTCCGATGGAAGAACGGAAAAGAAAATACGGAAGAAGAAGAACAAGGCATCAGGCAAACATGGGTATATCAATGCTTATTTCTATTAGTCATCGTCGTGATTCAATGAAGCGGTTCCATCAAAGTAATGAACATTTCGCACAGCCACAAGTGCCCCAGTTTTCGTGCATTGTCAATGCACCATTTGTTATATGCAGATCGACGGGTATTATAGATCACAGGGGATATTTTACTTGACCGCGCGGGTGCAGCTTTATGTTAGTCTGCAGACTGTTGCGCTCGCTTCACAGATCTCTTCATTCTTTATGTTCAGTTGTGATCACCCAACGATAAGGACAACAATTGGCGAAAAATGTCTTATCCATGATGATTCACAAGATGCTTCTGTGATTTATCTGTGTTGTTTCAGTAGAGCAGTGGATTGTTTGGGCATAATTCTTTTTTTATGTGTTTCACGTAGCCACCAAATTCTGAACATGGGTCAGTCGGTCGGGAAAAAAAGCGAAAACGACTTAATAAACACAAAATTATCTGAATAATATTCTTAATTCTCATTTATTGTAATTCTTATTACAATTTCTCGCATTCTTTTGACTTAAGGCAGCGACTGATTAAAAGGAAAACATTTTATATGACAATGTGGTATGTTTTAGGGTCGAGTCAGTGGTATTGGAATGAAAAAAAAAGTCTTTTGGAGGGTCAGCAATAAAATTAGAAGGGTCAGTCAAACGATGAGAACACAGAAAATAAAAATGCTGCCCTTTCAAGTTTTATGTACTGTAAAAGAACAAGCAATAGAGGACAACTACAAGTTTTGTGATAATATCGCTGAAGATGCACAGCAGAACACAACAGATCCTAACAAGTGTAACAAAACACATTTTTTCACTTATGACTTTTGAAATTAACATTATCATATCTATTGTCATGTGCATGAGGGGCGGTGAGGTAGCCTAGTGGTTAAAGCGTTCACTTGTCATACCGAAGACCCAGGTTCGATTCCCCACATGGGTACAATGTGTGAAGCCCATTTCTGGTGTCCCCGGCCGTGATATTGCTGGAATATTGCTAAAAATGGCGTAAAACCATACTCAGTCAGTCATGTCATGATGCACGTTAGATGTGGTTTCAATTGTGGTTTGAGTTGTAGTGTGCCCTACTTGTCAGTTGGCTAATGTTTCATTCCAGTCCACAATTTGGAATGGAAATATTTGTGTAAGGTACTTAGTTGTAGTTTCATGAGCTACAAGATTGAACTTGTTTCAAGGGTGGGAAATCATGTACATACAGTCGAGCACCGTTGTCTCGATATTCATGGGACCAAGAAAAAATATCGAGTTATCCGAACTTCGAGACATCCGACCAGGGCATATCATCACATATCACTATTAAAGAAAACAAAACAATAAGTAGATTTCATGTATACTTCTTTGTCTACACATTTTTACCACACACGATACAGCACATGCTACAGTGTCCATCTTGAATCATACAACATTTAGAAACAACTCAACAATCACATGGTAGTCACGTGATTACACACAACCCTCATTGGATTCTCAGTATGTTTTGATTTGAAACTATAATCCGTTATCAGTCGTGTTTAGTCGTAACGGTGAGTACTGTCCAATTAATTCCTTCGTAATTAATCCTAATTAAATAACAAATAGGTGACACCTTCAACTCAATTAGCCCTAACTAGTGCACACTTCCGCATCCCTTTGATTCATGCTATACTGTGTGTAAACAACCTCAGTTAAGAGGGATACTTGCCCATAAAAGGTACGTGAATATCGAGTTTCTTTGCATGTATCGAGTTAAAAGGGTAATTTTGCTTGTTGGGACCATGAAATTATATCGAGATATCCGAAATCTCGAGACATCCGTATCGAGTTAAAAGAGCTTGAATAATGATAAATAATGAAGGATTTTGCCGGGACCGAGATGTTATATCGAGACAACCAAGATATCGAGTTATCAGAGGTCGACACAAAGGTCCTCGACTGTATATATCAATTATTATATCTGAGCGAATTGATCTTCCTGTATTATTGATCTTCCTCCATATTTCCCCTTTCAGGATGCAAATTATTGATGACGACATCACTGTTAACCACTTGTTGCCTAGCAACCTGCATAACACCCTGGAAGAGGATGTTGGTGACAACGAGCCCACAATTGCTGATGTCATTGACGAAAGGCCAGAGCACATCAAACGCATGGAGGAGTTCCAAGACAGTCAGCGATGGAAGGGAGTCAATCGTCAGAAAACAGGTCAGGGAGACACTATTAGCACTACCTGAGAACTTCTTCTTCTTCTTCTTAACCCGTGAAGGTCCGGGTTAGAATATTGATCTTCAGTAACCCATGCTTGTCGTAAGAGGCGACTAACGGGATCAGGTGGTCAGACTCGCTGACTTGGTTGACACATGTCCTCAGTTCCCAATAGCACAGATCGATGCTGTTGCTAATACAAACCAATAATAGCGATTTGAATCTATGATCGTTTGTTAAACAACTTTTACCCTAGGTTGAATAAAAATATGAGATTTAAATGTTCATTTGGCAAGGTAAACTTATGAGGATTCGCAATCTTAATTTCACTTAATTTGATTTACTTTTTTGTTTAAAGTGATATTCATCGGTACGTTTTCACTGCAAACAGACTATGATATATGTGCAATTAGTTATACAATTCTTATGATGATTCATTGTTTTGTTATCAGATGGAGATTCACCAGAGTATGGGGTGATCAAGAGAAGAAGTAGACATGATTCAAACTCTGACCAATCATCACCTAGAAGACAGAGGCATGATTCTGATTCTGACCAATCACTGCCAAGGAGAGGTAGACATGATTCTGACCAATCACTGCCAAGGAGAGGTAGACATGATTCTGATTCTGACCAATCACCACCCAGAAGAGGTAGACATGACCCTGATTCCGATCAATCACCTCCAAGAAGAGGTAGACATGACTCTGATTGCGACCAATCACCACCCAGAAGAGGTAGACAGGACTCTGATTCTGACCAATCACCTCCAAGAAGAGGTAGGCATGATTCAGATTCTGACCAATCACCACCAAGGAGGAAAAATACATCAAGCAATAACAGAAGAGTGAAACAAGAAGTGGATTCTGACCAATCACCACCAAGGAAAGGTAGACATAATTCTGATTCTGACCAATCACCACCAAGGAGACATAAACAATCTAACCAGTCGCCTCCAAGGAGGCATAAACAATTCAAAACAGATAAAGACTCTAAACAAAGAAGAAGGAAAAGTCGATTTAATGACCCCAATTCGGATAATTCTCCTCCACGCAAAAGGCGGCATGGTTCTGATAGTGACTCATCTCCACCTCGTAGAATAAAAAAAGAGGAGGATATGGAAAATACAAAGAAAGCCACAAAGACGTTGGGGGGAGCAAAGGCAGGTCTATCGAGTGCTAGGGAGATGAAACAAGAGGCAGACAAGATGAGGAACAAAGAAGATGACATGTTTAGAAAGGTGCCACAATTTTTGCATCTCAGCTTGAATGGGTACAATGTTTGAAGCCTATTTCTGGTGTCCCCAGCCGTAACATTGCTGGAATATTGCTTGAAGCGGCCTAAAACTTAACTCACTCACTCACTCATTCACCCATCCACCCACCCACACACTCACTCACTCGCTCATCTCATTTCAGCTTGAGCACTGATCACTGATGAATTGATGAAAGTTCTCAATGTATGGAATTATTATGCAAAATGGGATTCAGCTGCTCATTGTTTAGTTTGTTACTTGTGATGGGGGAGGAAGGTGTATAGATATTAGCTCACTACATAGAAACAGATGGGACATCTAGGATTATATTGTATATTTATATCATATTCAATAAATATTTTACGTTCACTGGCCAAAGAAAATGAAAGTAGCCATAGGCTACTGGGCAGGCACACACGATGGATACAATACATCTCTGCTTCCAGATCTGACAAGCTCTCCATAGGAAACAGGTTTGACTGATTAATCTAAATGAAGCCTGCGGATTCTGCTTCAGTTCTTTACAACCTCTTTTCTGAATTCAACACTAGAAACATTCTGTTGATAGTATTTCTTGTAGGGTGTAGATGATGATGCTCTCATAAAAAATATTAACTTCCAGACTAATATATATACCTTAATTATTTCCATTCAGAACTGCACATTTAATTTCAATTTCAGATATCAGATTTGTACAACCTCATTTCCGAAATTCAACCCTAGAAACATTCTGTTGATAGTATTTCTTGTTGGGTGTAGATGATGATGCTCTCATAAAAAATATTAACTTCCAGACAAATATATTATACCTTAATTATTTCCATTCAGAACTGCACATTTAATTTCAATTTCAGATATCAGATTTAGAATTTTGAAGCCTCATCACTGTCTGGGTGATCAGAAAGTTTACTAGATGTGATCTATTGAGGTTGTACTAACTTGTAGCAGATCTTGGAGCTTAGAAGATAAGATGTTAACTGAAAAATGGTCAAATACAATTGTACTTAGCTGGCAAAGGCAATCTGGCAACACGGACAACAAGGTCAAACGGCCATCTTTTATTACACCACCAATTTGAAATTGAAACTTTTTAACATTAACAATCTGTTGTGAGACACCCCACCTCCACCCCTCAATACAAGTTACAACAATATTTTAGCCTATGTAACTGTCTCATGTCAGCATATTCCTTAAAAAATAGAAATAACACTATAGTCCGTTTGGCTCAAAAGCACACCGATGAATTGCAATCTAACTCGAAAACTAATAAACATAAAATACTCAATGAAACACTGTTCATAATCAAAACATCATACCAACTCTGTGAGGTATTTGCAGAATTTTTGTCCTAAAATTAAAAAAGTTATTTAACAAACTATCATTAAAATATTGACACAGTTCACTGTTTGTTACGAGGGAGGAGTGCAGAGAAAGGGACAGCCAGGTGTTCGAGAAGCACGTTCACAGACAAAGTTATTTTTTCATTAACCTGTGCTGTGCCGTCTCCATCCGTTCTCGAACGGTGAACTGTGTCAATATTTTAATGATAGATTGTGAAACAACTTTTTTATTTTTGGGACAAAAATTCTGCAAAAACCTCACAGAGTTGGTATGATGTTTTGATTATGATCAGCGTTTCATTGAGTATTTTATGTTTATTAGTTTTCGAGTTAGATTGCAACTCATCGGTCTGCTTTTGAGCCAAACGGACATAGCTCTGTGGTATTTCTGGTGTCAGTTCTTTCACACTAAAATTTGTTTAGATTGATGGAGAGATGCTGGGCAAGAATGCCAAGACAGTATTCCGAGAAAAGGGGGGAAAGAAACGAAACTTTGCTGAAGAGAAAGAGAAAGAAGAGGAGGAGGAGAGAAGGAAAGCCGTGATGGAGAAGAAATATGAAGAATGGGGAAAAGGGTAAGATGAGAGTTGGAGCGAGAAGTGTGACATTATATAGAGGATATTATATGAGCACCCATGTCATACTATGTTTACGACACGAGTGCCTAAATGTTGGTATTTCCCGAGCGAGAGCGAGAGATACACCGATATTTAGACACGAGCACGAAATATTCTGTTATTACGGAAGTCGTCAAATTGAGGAAAATATCCCAAATGTACTTTCAAACATAGGCTGGCTACCTGCCGCCGCATGTAGAACGTAACATCAAAGAAGAAACGTGATGTCATAGCATTGTTCATGACGTCACGTCACCATGACAAAGTGATATTTTGCTCTAGGGCATCATATGAAAAATATGAATCCCAATATTTTCACCCTCGTGGGTAATAAATCGACCTATTTAACTATTGCAATTGTTTGCCCCATGATAGCACGATAACAATAGGAATTTGAAAATGCCATTAGTATTGTCAATAGCATGCATAACAATTGATAATTTCGATAGTTGCAATTAGTTACAAAGGAAATACAGTTAGGAAAATGGCTTAGATTATCCGTAATACTTAAATCATCTCTGTTAGAGTAAATAAATATAGTTATCAAGTCTTAAGGTTGGTTTGCTACAGCTGCAAATTGGATTACCACAGTTGTCAGTTGTCACACACTTCAACAGTTGTCGGTTAGAATATTGGCCTTCAGTAACCCATGCTTGTCGTAAGAGGCGACTAACGGGATCGGGTGGTCAGGCTCGCTGACTTGGTTGACACATGTCCTCGGTTCCCAAATGTGCAGATCGATGCTCATGATGTTGATCACTGGATTGTGTGGTCCAGACTCGATTATTTACAGACTGCAGCCATATAGCTGGAATATTGCTGAGAGTCGGGTAAAACTAAACTCACTTACTCACTTACATCTACAGGAAAGTTGAAAATCAGAAATCTGTGATAAATAGTTATAAGGAACTCAAAGGGACACTCGTTTTTAGTTCCTGTCTGTTTGTTTCCAAATTGGATTACCACAGTTGTCAGTTAGAATATTGGCCTTCAGTAACCCATGCTTGTCGTAAGAGGCGACTAACGGGATCGGGTGGTCAGGCTCGCTGACTTGGTTGACACATGTCCTCAGTTCCCAATTGTGCAGATCGATGCTCATGCTGTTGATCACTGGATTGTCTGGTCCAGATTCGATTATTTACAGACTGCTGCCATATAACTGGAATATTGCTGAGAGGCGGGTTAACCTAAACTAACTCACTCACTCACTCACTCACTCTCTCATTTCAACTAAAATATACGGCAAGAGACAGTGCTAAAGCAACCCAGTTAATTATGTCCATAAGTTATATATCAGCATGTTCATTATAAACATAATTCCTGTAAAAAAATTGTTTTGCCTAATTCTATAAATATAAAATACCACTTAACCACAGTAAACAATGCTTACCCAGAGAAGACTGAGGAACTGATTTAACACATAACCAACATTTACTGTTTTTTGTGTAGGTTTGAAACAGAAAGAAGCTCTAGAACAGCGACTGACTGACACACTCCATGAAGCAGCAAAACCCCTGGCCCGTTACCGTGACGATGACGACCTGGACGAGTTACTGAAGACAAGGGAGAGGGAAGGCGATCCAATGGCAGCTTTCTTGAAGAAGAAGAAAAAGAAGAATAAAGATCCAAATGTTAAAGGTTGGTTTGAATTCCTTGTGGTTGGTTTGCATTCCTGGTGATTGTGATCCTGGTGCATGAAAATAGAGAAAGTGCTGGCAGATTAAAAAAATTGTCGAGCTATTCCAAATGTTGCTGACAACCAGGGGAAGAGTTTTCTATAAAATGAACACAAGGGGAGACAACTCTCACATATAACTGATCACCAGGGTAGACAATTCTCAGAAATAAATGATCACTAGAAAAGACAACTCTCAGATATAACTGCTCACCAAGGGAGACAACTCTAGACGTAACTGATCACAAGGGAAGACAACTCTCTCAAATGAATGATCACCAGGGGAGACAAATGACAAATATAACCACAAGGGAAGACAACTCTCAGATATAACTGATCACAAGGGAAGACAACTCTCAGATATAGGCTCCTGACAGTGAGTGAGTGAGTAAAGTTTTACGCCGCACTCAGCAACATGACAGCTATATGGCGGTGGTCTGTAAATAATCAAGTCTGGACCAGACAATCCAGTTATCAACAGCATGAGCATCGATCTGCGCAATTGGGAACCGATGACATGTGTCAACCAAACCACCCGATCCGTTAGTTGCCTCTTACGACAAGCATGGGTTACTGAAGGTTCATTCTAACCCGGATCCTGACAGTGATAGCATGTTTACAGAGTCCAAGTCACAACAACGCATGGAGTTGAATTCGCAAATGTTCACAAAAAAGTGATGAATGTAGTTCTTTGTAAATTTAAAATTTCTTATTCATTTGGTCTTCAACAACACATGCTTGTCTCCCCTTGAAGATCATTGTCAGAATTGGTCTTAAGCAACACATGCATGTCATAAGAGGCTACTAACAGGGTTTAGCAGTCAGGCTTGCTGACTTGGTTGACACATGTCGTATCCCAGTTGCGTAGATCGATGCTCATGATATCAATCACTGGATTGTCTGGTCCAGACTCAGAAATGTACAGACCAATGTCGTGTAGCTGGAATATTGCTGAGTGCACCATTAAACAAAAAACAAACACAATATAAATGCACAATGTTACACACAACGTTAATCCCCCTTTCATGTCACCCTCTTCTGCCTCTATTTCCAGAGAAGCCCAAGTACAGCGGTCCAGCCCCTCCCCCCAACAGGTTCAAACTAATGCCAGGATACCGCTGGGACGGAGTCGATCGATCAAACGGATTTGAAAAACAAATATTTACCAAGATGTCGGAAAAACGTGCTACAGAAAAGCTTGCATATAAGTGGAGTGTAGAAGACATGTGATCACTGGGTGGATTGTGTGGACTATGTCATGCATATGTGTCTCTTAGCTGATGTGTGAAACCTCTTTAGGTGACATGTGAAACATCAATCTTGTGACCTCCGTGTGTAACATGTGAAACATCAGATGTGGCCTCTGGGTGTCAGATATGTGACCTCTGGGTGTCATGTGAAACATCAAACCTGTGACCTCTGGGTGTCATGTGAAACATCTGACATATGACCTCTGAGTGTGATGTGAAACATCAGATATGTGACCTCTCGAAGTAAAATATGAAAGTCTGACATGTGAACTCTCTTGGTAAAATGTGAAACATCTGATGTGTGCCCTCTCTGGATGTCATGTGAAACATCAGACAAGGGCAAAGGTTAGGTGAGATGAAATGGGGTTTAACGTCACACTTAAAAATATTTCGCTCATATGACGACGTGCATGCGTGTGTATGTGTGGCTGCTTGGACGACCCCAGACTTTTGCTGGTTTTATCATGTTTATAATGCTAGCCCACCGAGATACCATGCCGCAGTTAAGCATGAATACCCCACTCAGACACATTATACTGACTCCGAGCCAACCAGTCCTTGTTGTACCCATTAATGCCGAGTGCCAGGCAGTGACCTACAAGTACCATATTTTAATGTGAAAGGGCAAAGGAGGCTGGTCAATTTGATAAATGAGATATCTCATTTCAGACGCCGAGATCAGTTGATCGTCGATTCAAGTGTGATATTTACCCAGTTACGATCTAGTCTCTGGAGGGGCAAAGGCATAGCCTAGTGGTTAAAGCGTTTGCACATCATGCCGAAGACCCGGGTTCGATTCTCCACATGGGTACAATGTGTGAAGCCCATTTCTGGTGTCCACTGCTACAATATTGCTGGAATATTGCTAAAAGTGGCATAAAACTGTACTCTCTCTCTCTCGCGCTCACTCACTCACTCCAGTCCCTGGTCCCGCGTCAAAGTCAACAGCATTGGCTTCAAACACACTCATGCACAGGTGGCACAGTGGACACAGCACTTGTTGTATCCAAGGCACGACATGATTGGACTGAAGTACTGTTCAGTGCAGAATTTAACCCAACTCCATCACTTAAAGCAGAAATATGATTTGTAGATTTAATGATGTGACAAGTCCAAAATTATTTTACTGAATGGCTGGGTCTCAGCAGTGACATCATGGAAACGAGCTCCTGTTGGGATATGTCACACCATAAACAAACTGAATTCCCAAAACGTTTTGGGCAGCTTAACAAACGAAATTGTATTAATTAAAGTAGTAACATTAATAAAATTGTGCTGATCTGTATCCTGGTACAGCTTATTGCAAATTTCCTCTCTTCAGTCTCCAAAAAGAAAATCCCAAACATGCCTCTCTGCCAGGGGAAGTTGTCTTGAAGTTACCAGAGTTACCTTGAACCATCACTTTCAGAAAGCCATTAAAACCATACAATTGATATTAACAAGATGAGTGTAATAATGTAATAATAAATGTTCTAATTTATGTGATATTGTTGAGATACCCACCGCTTGTGTACTGCTTCTATGTGTGGTCACTCATTTGTAGTCATACAAATGTGTACATTTTGATTTTTATGCTTAAAAAAAATAAATTGAAAATTATTGAAATATTTTGATTGTCGTCTTCCTTTTGTATGCGTTTTCAGGTATCTGGTTCTGTTTCTAGGGCAGGTCTTCCAGAATGTATTTTAGTATCAATCGCAGAACAGACAAGCATTATCAACAGTTAAAAACTAATTTATGAACTTACTGACTTAAGATTTAAATCAGAAAAGAGAAAAATAACAAGCAGTAAGTGTTAGGGCTGTAAAGATGCATCGAACTATCGATGGATTGCAATTGTTGAGTCTCCGATAGCAATTAATCGATGGTAGAAATGAAAAACTACCGTACATCAATTGTATGTGTGACTATCGATAGTTTATTAATTGACTTCCGTTGATAAATGCACAGCACAAAATGCAGGATGTTTGGGTGTAGACTTGCAGCTTCTTTGACTTAATGTTTTAACTATTTACTTGATCTGGGTTTCAAGTTTCTTGTCACTGATAAAAAGAGACTGAAACTACTTCAACTTGTTTTTATTCCATATAAACTGTACATTTACTTGGGAAATGACTTCATATGAGACAATTCAAGGAGAAAAACACTATTTATAGTATTGCAATAGTTGGTCGCAATAGACTATCACTATCACAGTAGTAGTTTCCCACTCAATAGTCACCCCCAGTAAGTGTACAATCTTCTGATTTGAAGGAAGTAAAATGTTTAGAAATAAAACCCTTCTTTTGTTGTTATCAATAAAATTAACTTAAAATACTATTAGAAAATATATCTTAAAAATATTTTCATACTTACTTGAAAATTTGGATCATTGAAATTTAAAATATTTGAAACTGGTCGTATACATCTTTAAGTGGCATCTAGAGGTGAGGTGAGGTGAAATTGGGTTTAACGTCGTGCTTGAGAATATTTCGCTCCTATGACGACGTGCATGCGTGTGTATGTGTATGTGCGGCTGCTTGTACTAGCCCAGGCTGAAGCTGGTTTTATAGTGCTAGACCACTGAGATACCATGCCGCAGTGAAGCATGAATACCCCACTCAGACACATTATACTGATTCCGAGCCAACCAGACGTTGTTGTACCCATTAATGCCGAGTGCCAGGCAGGGACCAACAAGTACCATATTTTAACGTCTTTTGGTATGACACGGTCGGGGATCGAACCCGCGACCTTCCGCTCTCCGAGCGGACGCTCTAACCACTACACCACTGAGGCGGTCAGTGGCATCTAGAATGGTACGATGAAGAGGAACACTTGTTATGGATAGACAATATAGCTGTGACGATATATCGTGGTATCGATAATCGTGATACTTTTTCTGACAATAAATATATCGATACTTTTTTTCATATCGTGATATGTATCGTTGACCTTAAAATTGTGCATTTTCACTAGAAATTGACAGTTACGTCAAAATTTAAACTGTTACTTGTTATCAAAACACACCTTTTAAAAGAAAATAACTATAAAGATAGCATATCGTGATATGCATCGTATCGAATCGTATCGTTCCGAGATATCGCGATACGCATCGTATCGAATCGTATCGTTCCGAGATATCGCGATACGCATCGTATCGTGAAATATCTGTATCGTCACACCTCTAATAGACTTCTTTATTAGATGCAATAGATGAAACATTTCGGTGTAGATCCTAACACCATTATCAAGCAAATGATACACAACATTATACCATGGTCATATACAGCCAAAACATAGCCGACAGGTATGCAAAATAAATCAAAAGATAACTCTAAATTTGGATGATAATACATTTTATTCAGCACACATAATGATGATGGCACATGACAGTATATTGAATAACAGACATTTGGGAGTAACAGATAGAAGCATTGTATGATACAACTATTGGTGATGCACGCACTGAGGTGTCTCTAGAAAATCCATCTTCCGGGCCACTGAGCAAAGAAGACAGGCCCTACCTGTGGATATATACTACTCTTTTGAAAGGGTAATCAGATTGAAAGTTAAAATATCCTTATCAAAGAAGGTTAAGCACATTTGTCTATAGTACAATATCATATATATCTATATAGATTTTATATATCACAATATCATTAAGTAAGCACTATGTAATATATGTAATATATGTTATACATGTAGCACAGTTGTAACATCAAATACTAATTTTACATAATAATTAGTGTAATAAAAATGAACTCTAAACATATAAATACGATATTCAAAAAACAAGTTGATACTGACAGAACCATATGGGAAAATAATCCATCTATGTTCAGTTTGCAGATATGAATATTTTTAATAGATAATACATATTACAACATTTTGATTTGTTACAAGCACTTTTTGTTGGTATATAATATCACCATCCATCTATGTGTCTGACAAAAATTGGACATGTTATACTCTCAATATCGCCAAGGGCCAGGTAGCCCAGTGGTTGAAGAGTTCGCTCATCTCGCCGAAGGCCTGGGTTCAATCCCCACATGGGTACAATGTGCGAAGCCCATTTCTGGTGTTCCCCGCCGTGATAAAGCTGGAATATTGCTAAAACCATACTCACTCACTCACTCACTCAATATCGCTAGTACCTGATGGAGCTGTCCATCACCCATGGATACACTCAGCGGTCTTGCAGTGACCAAAAACGACGCTGGTAGGAGAGCCTAGTGGTTAATGTGGTCGCTCATCACACCGAACCTGTAGGTTTGATTCCCCATACATGAGTATATTGTACAATGTGTGAAGCCCATTTCTGGTGTTCAATTGCGCAGATCGAAGCTCATTCTGTTGATCACTGGATAGTCTGGTCTAGACTCGATTATTTACAGACCGCCGCCATGTATTGCCTGGAATATTGCTAAACTGGCGTGAAACGATACTTACTCACTCACTCAAACAAGTGATTAGGCATCAGGGCCGAGTAGTCACAGGCTCCACAGACTGCATCCCTTGGCACGCCAGGATCCTATGATTGTGGGTTCAAATCCTGAATCAGCCTGCTTATGTTTCTAGGTTTTCGGTGGAATCACTTCAGGATTTCCTCCCATTCATCAAGACAAGGAAAACAAAACAACAAACAAACTACTACACATTACACAACTTCTGGTTTCAACAAATAACCACACAGATTAAACTTGTTTAAAAAATAGACTCAAAACAGTTGTTCACATCAGAATCTTGCAAGCAGACAACAAACAAAGCATGTTGCGTGGACTCCACTCGCTAACCAAGTTAGCTAAAATCTACCTCTTCTTGCAGTCCACACAGTGAGTGAGTTTAGTTTTACGCCACACTCAGCAACATTCCAGCTATATGACCAGACAATCCAGTGATAAACAGAATGAGCATCGATCTACGCAACTGGGATACGATGACTTGTCAACCAAGTCAGCGAGCCTGACCCCCTGATCCCGTTAGTCGCCTCTTATGACAAGCATGGGTTGCTGAAGACCAATTGTCACGCGGATCTTCACGGCTCTACTTTCCACAGAAGGAATTAAAGAAATCCTGATTGTTTCACATGACTCAATCATTTGTCCTGGCATGACCAATGAATAAGTCAAAGGGGGTGGTGGGGTAGCCCAGTGGTTAAGGCGTTTGCCCGTCTCGTCGAAGACCCAAGTTCGATTCCCATCATGGGTACAATATGTGAAGCCCTCTGGTGTCCCCTGCCATGATATTGCTGAAATATTGCTAAAAGCGGCATAAAACTAAACTCACTCACTCATTCACTCAACAAGTTATATGACAATATCATGTGTTTATATATCTTGTGAGTAGTATATATTGGCTAAATGTTCATACATGGACAGCAAGTATCTACAACTACATATGCAATAATGGTAAAGTAGATCATCTACATGGAATAGACTTTTTCAATATTTTAAAATGAAGCAATGTGTTTAAATCAGATCAGTTTGAGTTCGTGGCAAGAAAAGACTACTGAATCCTATAAATGCCCTTCCTGGTAAAACATGGTACAGTTACAGGTACTATATCAAGAGGCTCCACTCAACATAGTTTCTCTACCAACATCTAGCATTAAAACATGTAAAACAACATATAAACTCTTCTTTGAAAATATCATAAACATACTAAATTCATAGAATCATTAATAACAAAAATTGTCAACAAGAGAATTCTGAAAAATGGATTTTGTGGGATGAAAATATTGCAAGCCTTGAAACCGTGGCATAAAACTAAACTCACTCACTCACTCACTCGCTTATTGTTTTCCAGTAGTCCTATATTGAAAAAATAAGGAGTACGTACTCC